ACTGAGGAATCTTGAAATAAGAATCATTAAGGCAGAACAACTTCCAGATTCACTGGCATTGCCCAGTAATTCTTGTAGGACCTAAGATGCTGTTGCAGGGTACTAGGACTTGGCACCCTGTATCATATCAAGGCTTTGGAGCATGGTTCCAGGATCATTAAAAGGCACCATAGAGAACATGTATTATAGCTCTTTAACTTTCCAGCCCCAGGTCTAAAAAGCCGTAATGGTGCTCCTTTAGAGCATCATGTGTCAAGAGACAACAAGAGTAGCCACTACTACCTCCTTTCCTGCTAAGCAGAAAAATTTTTTCTCTAAATCTCTAGACCTTTCCCTGTTGTGTAATCACATTTTTATCCTCATTTTGGTCAGTTTATTTATGATAATACTGCTTTTCTCCATATACAATTGACCTAAATGCCCTCAAGGCTGTGAAACTTGGTGAGATTGCATCACTCGTTCCTGTGGCCTCTCTGGATACCCTTTTGAATTGGAATCCTTGGTTTCCATTCTAATTTTATATTTTTAGCCCTCTTACTGACTGGTAATCTTTTTTTGGTATTTTGAGACAGGGTCTTGCTGTGTATTTCAGACTGACCTTGAACTCACTATGTAGCCCAGGCTGGCCTTGAGATAGCAGTGGTTTTCCTGCCGCAGCCTGCCAAGTGCTGTTACAGGTGTGCACCACCACACTGGGCCAGACTGGTAATCTTAATGGAGAAGGTATCTAAATATTCAGATAGTATGCTTTGTAGAACCCTACCAAAGACTAGAAGAATTTCTGTACCTCTTACTATGGACATTTTGATAGGCTGTTGCCTAGGAAAAGTCAATTTGTGAGCTAAATACAGTGGCATGGCCTGTCATGTCACCACAGTTAGAGACTGAGGCAGGAGGATCTCAAGTTTGAGCACAGTCTAGACAGTTTATGACTTAAGAGAACCTGTCTGAAAATAACAGAAGAGGCCTAGGGATAAAGCTCAGTACAAAAGCCTTGGGTTTAATCACTAGAACCCCACCCCCCCAAAAAAGGCATAGAAAAAGAGGGAAGGAAGGCAGGTCAACATGTACGCAATGGGCAGATACCTCCCGGAAGCCCTACTGCTTTATGACATGGAAGAAGTTTACCAGCCACCTAGTACCCACACTTCAAAGAATCAGGTACCATTCACCCCTAGAAAATGTAAAAAGAAAATACAAACTACACTGTATTGGCTCCCTAATCTGAGCCTGAATATTCACTGGGAAGGTTATTAATGGCTATTTCTTAATGGATAATAAAACTTCAGTTTCTGGCAACATGATAATTTTTCCCAGATTGGTTTTTGTTCACTTGCTGGTTACAAAAGATGAGAAATAAACATTGCTTTCTCCTCCCATTTTACTGAAGGTCCAGAGAATCAAGGGAGTTGCTGGTAGTATTCCATTCTACTACTTTATCCACTAGGTTGGTACCCACTTGTTTTATTTTTAGATCAGTACCTTATTCCATCTTCCAGGCTCTTTATCAGCCGTACTAATTTTGGGAAGGGGCCAGAGTCTGGACTCTAACCCATAGAGTTATCTGCTCCGTCTTTTGTATAGAATTAGGAATTTTAGGATTAGTTTCAGGGATTTGTGAACTGTGATTGTATTGAGTTGTACTTGATTAAATGTCTGCACAAGTACTACTTTGGCCCTGTCCCTTGGTAGATTTATATCTTTGGGTAAATGTGACTAGCAGTTGTTAACCAAAAGCCTCTTTCAGGTTTTGTCTGTACTCAGGTTTCCTAAGCACCAGAAGGCCATGCTAATAGTGTTAGTTCTTGTTGAAGAGTAATCGTGTATCCCATTCATCTTCTCCCCACAACCCCCCATCTTATTCCCTGATAATATAATTGTATCCAGGGGACTACCACACCCAACTGCCTGAGACCGTTGCCCCCTTAGATTTTCTAATCCTGAAAATTATTGATTTAGTTAGGTTTGCCTGTTTCAAGAACAATGACTTTTTCTTGATTAAAGGAACTAGTCAGCCTCTCAATCTTTCATATTGCTGCCGCATGGAAGATTAATTTGGAAAATATTATTCTGATTCCTAAGAAAAGAGTAATATAGTCCTAACTAATGAAGTGAGAATGGTGATGAACATAAGAGGTACTGTGAAAGAAATTAGGTCTTAAGAGAGAAGAATTTGAGGCAAAATTAATGCAAAATTAGTACCTGGGTAGCTGGGAGAATGATAACACCATGAGCAGAGGGAGAAAGACAAAAAAACCAAGAAACAATCAGGTTTAGCAAGGTTGGTGGGGGGGATAAACAGTATGAAACAATCAAAAGTTCCACTGAATATCTGTAGTGTTGTATTTATTAGATGATTGGAAATATGGAATTAGAGGAAAGAATTCTAGGGTAGGATTTAAGGTTAGGAGTTACCCATACTAAACTGGAATTGAAGTCCCAATGTTGTCACATACATAGAGTAGGAGATGGACAGACTGGACCACATGTCCATTTAAGAATGAGAAGTAGAGAGGAAAGCTGTGAGAGGTCAAAGTGTAAGTACTTCTTGTAAGTAGGGATGGAAATGAGAAATGAAGTAGGTTGATGGACATAACACAGTAGGGTGGGCAGAGAAAGGTGTATGAGGAGTGAAGAGGTGTCCTGTGAGTCGTGGTGGCTTCTACACACACACAGTGTGTGTGTGAACCCAGGACCTTCACATTGACTTGTATCACTACCCATTTTATTTTTAAAATTCTGAAGCAGAGTAAATTGCTGAGTTGCCTGGGCTGGAGCTTTCCATTGTCCTGCCTCAGCTTCTAGAATGCTGGGATTAGAGACATGCACTACCACACCCAGTTGGTAGAAGGACCCTGAGCTTGAAGTACTTGCATAGCAAGGGGAAAGAAGAAGAATAGAGACATTTAAATCATCCTAGGGAGTAGGATGTTGCACTAAGCATCGTGGCACAGTCCTGTAGTAGGTTTGTAGTCTTAGCTACTTGGGAGGCTGCGGCAGGAGGATCACTTGAACACCAAGTTAAGACCAGTCTGGACAATATACCAAGACCATCTCAAAAAAAAGTATGTGTGTGGGGGGGGAATATTGACACGTCTTGTGTCCCAGGGGAAAAAAAACCTGTGAATTTAAAGTGGGTGCAGCAGAGGGGTCTAGAAGAATTTGAAGTGGGAGGTAGACACTACTGAAAATACAGGAATCTCTTTGAGCTAAGAGCAAGATTAGTGGACCAACTGTAAGATGTGGCTGAGATGGGATAGACACAGAGAATAGTCATGCTCCCATGTTGGTGGGAAGTTAGAGGAGGACCAAAAAGAGTAGATAGATGGAGAAAGGGAGAAGTGACAGTGAAGACAGAACGGTGTACAAAAAGGTAAGCTTGGGGTCAGTCAGTGTACAGTGGTACCTTGGTACTTGTCATTAATTGGTTCCAGCAGTCTCAATAAGTACTCAGAACAATGACTATCAAACGAAATTTTTTGGCTGGAAAGGATGGCCATTATGAGGCACTTCACCCTGCTAAGTTCTCACTTACATGCCAAGTATCAAATGAGTACTGGGACAAAATTTTCACATCAAAATGTTGAGTACCAAATTTGACAAATTTCATAGCAATCAAGTACCAAAGTATGACTGTACATATTCTTGGCCACTTTGGAAGCTGTAAGACATTACATGAAAATTATGATTCCTAACCTACAGCTCAGTGTGGTTCCCAGTTCTTAATAATATTCTTTTTTCTGGTCACTGCTCATTTCGACTAGATTATCTGCACTCTTCCTATTTGGCTTTGAACATCCTGAGATTTTTCACCCTCTCATGAAGTCTGGCTTCTGAGTCCTTTCATTTTACTCTAAATCAGTGATCTTCAGCTTTGGGTACATACTAGACTTTTTAAAAATATAAGTGCATGGACACTAGTGTGGTAGACATAAAGACTTTTGAAGCTCTCTAGGGGATTGTTCAGTGTGATCAGGGTTAAGATCCTTTAGTCTAGGTATTCTGCCGGCAGAAATAACAGGTCTCATTAGTCAGTTGCCCATTTTAGGAACACCTGACAAGCATACAGCTAGTCCTCTCACCATGTCAGTATTACAAGTGTGGCAAAGCATATCAATTCTGGAGTTGCATGCCTGGGGCCAGCTCTGTGGTCTTACTAAAATTCTGTGTTCCCTGTAATGCGCAATTTCCTAAACAGTCAATGGGAATGATTTTAATAGTACTTGTGAAAGAATAAGTTAAATCAAATAATGAGATATGCTTAGCACAATGCCTGGCACATCAAACTCAACAAAAACTCATTGTGTCTGTTAATATTTTTGTGATTACAATAGTACTTTAATAGAAAGCTGTTTTTCCATAGGCTTTCACAGATTAAACTTAAACTTCCTCTGTGCACCATTTATTTTGAATCTGTACTTTGCTTTAGGAAGGAAAACTGCAAGTTGTCTTATTTTTAAGTTAAAAAAATAAAACTTCATGATTGTTATGATTACCTGTGGCATGTACTAGTGAAAGATGGTTACCTTTATAAATATTTAACTTCATTTCAATCCTGTTAATAGGAACGTAGCCACAGAATGACTGTCACAAAATCAGATTTTATTTCTTCATGACATTTCAAGTGTGGACTGATTTTTCTAGAATCTCACTCTGGCAAGAACCTACCTACTAGGGCTTCGTGTATACCGTCCCCTGACCCCAAGATTGTGTATGCAACAACTCTGGAATGTTCATGCCATATAACTTTCGTTCTAGGTATCTTTAAAAATAAACATAATCTGCCCCATACTACCTGTCAGCCTGGCTTGTCCTTAGTGTGCTATTCTTACCTTTCTGATGAGCTGCCTACCTTACTACAAAATGATTGTCCCAGACGTGAAAACTTTTGCCAAAAGCAGTGTTAAGCGTTTAATGGGCGTTAACAGACTTACATTTACAAGCAATAAAGTTTATCACCTTTGTGTTGTTATTTATGCAGCATTAACCTTTTTCTCCAGATCATTGAGACTGAAAATATGATGGACCGAATTGTGACTGGCTTGTCTGAGTCTAGTGTCAAGGTGCGCTTAGCTGCCGTCAGGTATGAGCTTTAAATGGTCTGAATAAACATCCTTTGCTGTGTGTTTAACCTACTTCCTTTCCAGTCCTTCATTGAATAAGTGCAGAATATGAATGTTAATGGAAAGTATGTTCAGGTGAATTCAAACAGTGTATAACATTGTCTCACAGAGAACCTGGCCTCCAAAGCCTAGGAGATGTCACCATGTAATTGACTTGCTGTCTACTCTTAGATATACTTGGAGTGTACATTAATAATAGTGAAAAGCCAAGCGGTTTGTTTGAAAAATAAGTTTGGGATTCTTGGAACACTAATTTCAATTATTCTTTGTAGATGTTTGCACAGTTTATCCAGATCTGTGCAGCAACTACGAACCAGTTTCCAGGATCATGCTGTGTGGAAACCTTTAATGAAGGTAAGAAGGTCAGGTCATCTTGCCACAGAGCCTTTGTGAGCTGAGCTAGCCAGCAGCACTCCCCTAGTCTAGGAATATGTCTGATTTTTGCTATGGTATTTTTTTAATTTTAAAAAGAGAAAAGAATAAAAATGATGGTATAGAATTTCAAAACAAAATAATGTTAACAATGGTTAATATATTGCATATTATTGTCTTCAAAGTAGTTGCTCAGGTTACAAGATAAAGGCATGAAAAACTGATCGAAGCACAAACCATTCTTTTTGATGAACTAGTAGAGATTAGTAATATAATTTTATATATATATATATATATATATAAAATCTTTTCCCTTTGTTCTTTTCTCCTTTCCCCCATTCCAGTTATTCTTTCCTGTTCAGCAGTTTCTTCCTCTTTCACTTTGACAATATTTATTGTACATTTTGGATCTTATTTGCTCTTTCCATTTTTTATACTACGAAGACAATATGATGTTTATACAGGAGTCTGATTTATTTCACTTAGGAGTACGGTGTTTGATCTACTTCCATTCATTGACACTCCTCCCTGAATTTCACGCTGTTGGACATATGTTGCCCTTCTGAATATTTCGTCTTCCTTGTTATCCTTTTGTGTCCTGAAGCTCATTAAGAGTGTCCAAACTCAGAAAGATTATTCATTCACAACCCTTTCTGCAGCAGCAGCATTGATGCCTTTCCACAGTTGGAAGGCGTTGGTTCAAGGAATGTGCCAGTTCTCACACACAAAAGTCCATTTCAGACCCACAGTACTTTTGTACCTCAGAATCAGATTTGGCATTCCTGAATTTTTGAGATGATTTTTTGTTTGTTTGTTTGTTTGTTTGTATTGATTTATTTATTTGGTATTGGGAATTGAAGTAACAACCTGACACTTGCCAGACAGGTACTGTGTCACTGAGCTATAGCCCCAGCCCAATTCCTACATTTTTGAAAGCTCTTCTCAGTTAAATGATGTGCTCTTATATTGTTCATATACTTACAATCTTATTCTCAGATTTACCTTTTTCATAGGCAGCTTAATCTTGATTTATTGATTATCCATTTAAGATTTTTTTAAAATTGCTCTTCTGCTTCCTAAAATAAATCCCTTTGCAACTAGTCATTTTCTGAGATTGCACAGCTCAAAACCCCATTGTCATACAAATCAGAAATAGAACAACATATGTTTTCTAATTCTCTTACAAGAAGGTTTGATGAACACTTTAGAATTTTGTGCACTTGGGTACATGTGCATATAATTATTTTCAAGCTATGACTTTGTGGCACATTTAAAGTATAGTATTAAAAGTTCAGAAATAAACTAATGATTCGTTTCAGATTCTTTTAGACTTCTCATAGTTAAGCGGTTATTTATATATCTGCTTGTTTTTCTCTTTTGTATTTCCATATTTTAAGCTATTGGTTAGCAGACCACAAATGAACAGCCATTCAATTTTAATTAAAATCTTGTGGGAGTTTTTTTTTGTTGTTGTTCCTATTGTGATGGAATTTTGTTTGGTTGGTGATAGATGTCACCTTCTGAATTCCATGTTGTATTTTACATGTTGTATCTCTCCAGTATGAGAAATTAAATTGAAAGGTGGGGTATGCATGTGCGTGCATATGTGTGTGTGTGTGGTACTGAGTATTGGACCCAGGCCTTGGCACTTGATCTGCTACTAAGCTACAGCCCCAGTATTTTTTCAGTTTTTATTTTGAGACAGGTCTTGCTGAGTTGCCCAGCTCTCCTTATTTTTATTTTTACTTAGTATTCAGTGATATGTCTCACTTCCATGATTCTAAAACTTAATGATATCTTTTTTTTTATTCCATAGGTTTTACAAAATGCACCAGATGAAATCCTAGTAGTAGCATCATCCATGTTATGTAATCTGCTTCTTGAATTTTCTCCAAGCAAAGAGGTTAGTATTGATTTTTTTCTTCCAAGGTGTTGCCCAGTCTAGTTAGAGTTTAGATACCTTTTTTACAGCAGTTAACATTGAAATTTATGATTTAGGTTCAAAAACTACCTTTGAATTATTTGATTTAGGAAAAGGGGCAAATCATTTTTAAATATGATTATTTTCCCTTTTTTGACCTAGCATATTCAGCTTCATCATTGTGACACATGACTGTAATCCTAGCTACTCCAATTTCTGAACAGGAAGATCCCCTGAGCCTTAGCTTAGGAGTTTGAGACAACTCTGGGTAACATAGAGTGACCCTGTCTCAAAAATAATAAATAAACTGAACATGTTATATACACCTATAATCCTACCTTTCAGGAGGGTCACAAATTGGAGCCGAACCTGGGTAATTTAGCAAGATCCTATGTCAAAATAAAAAATGGACTGGAAATACAGTTCACTGTAAAGGCCTAGGGTTCATTCTCCAATACTGAAGCATGCATACATTAAATAAATAACAGCTTATCATCAGTCTAAACTACTTGAAATTATAAATATCAGAAAAAAATTACACAATAATCTATATTCAAACTACAGTATATTTGCTAAAAATATTTAATTTTATAAATCAGGGTTATGAGCCATTTCAAGGACATAACTGCTGGCACCAAAAAATAATCTTTTAGTGTTGGTTGTCAGAGGAAGGATTGAATGCAGGGATTTTTTTTTTTTTTCTCTTCTGCATTTTTTAAATTATTTGACCTTGTATTTTTTTAATGGACAAAACTAAAATTAATAAAAGAAGAGGGAAACCTTACAAAGTTAGTTTTACTGTGTTATTATATCTCTCTTAACAGTATACATGAGGTCCTGGATTCAGCCCCTGCAGCAGGGGTACGGTTGGGGTACAATTATGAACTTGTTTTGGGGCACTTACTAGTTGCATTTTGGTAGAGTTTATTTTCTGTGTACCACCTGCAGACTTTGTTGAAACGAGAAAGACAAATTGATAGCATAATAATTCAGAGATAGTTAGTGCAAATTCTCAGAACCAAAGGAAAGAAACTGGCAATTATTCTAAAGAAAGAGGCAGTATACAGTAGATTTTCTAATCTGTTCTCCTGCGATTCATAATAGTTTCTTAACCTGATTAGAATCTGTTACAGCCAATCTGACACCATTTATCATCTAGAAAGAGTTCTTAGATTGCCTAGAAATACTTTCAGCATATTTAACATGTAATTACAAAATAAAGTAGTTGAGTTCAGGCAAAGAATCATTAAAATAATTGATTTAATATTAAAAGTAAACCAAACCACGGCACAGTGGTGGATAATCCCAGCTACTATAGTGGCTGAGGCAGGAAGATAGCAAGTTCAAGCCAGCCTGAGCAACTTAGTAAAGCCCGGTCTCAAAAACGGAGAAAGTGGGTAGTAAGAGAGAAGGACATAGCTTAGTGGTAGAGAGCTTGTGTAGTAGCACCTAAGTAAATAAATAAATGAAAATCGAAATTCTGATCTGGAAGGGAGGAAGTTTTGGGGGCCACTTGACAGAACTGGAATAGGGATAATAGATTAAAAAAGGTATTGTTTGATTTTAATATCAACTTTTGTGAAGTCGATAGTTAAAATGTGACTTAAGCGAACATCCTTGTTCTTAAGAAATACACATTAGAGTATTAAGGGAAAAGGCATAATTTATACACTATTTTCAAAATGGTGGGATAAATAAATAATGTGGATATAGGTATATAGAATGAGGCCAATGCTTAGCCATTATGACAAAATATTAAAAATATCACTAGCTGTGCAAGTAGGGGAATATTACCCCCAAAAAGTATCACGATGAGAGGCACTATCCTTTTTCTAGTTATATAGACCTGTATTCCTTAAAGTGTTTCTAAAATTCACTTGATAGGTGGCCTTTGAACATTCATTAATAACAGAAAAATCTTAATCCTCTTAAGTTAGAATTTCCTACATACTGCCTACTCTCATAGTATCCCAAGTATAATAAGTGGTCAAGGTAGCGCATGGTATTTTAGATGTGACATATGGCATGACCACAAAAGTATAAGTCTGTTTTGCTTATGTAATGGATAAGTAGTAGTCCTGAAAGTACTCCTCAGAGATGAAATCTGCAACATGTCTGGAATGAAACTGACAATTTGGAAGGAGGATGATATGGTTATCTAAGTATATTATATTTCTCCACTTACACCAGCCACGTTGCTTCCTCGTCACATTTTATAAGCAGCATACAAGACATGTACATAAATGAAACAGGGAGTTACAGTCTCAGGACAGTGAAAATGAGGGTAGAAAACTAGATTCTGAGAGCATGGGTGAAATGTTCAGATAACTAAGGTTTTCCCAGATTCTTTCAGAACTAAAAGAACAAGGAAAAGAGCTTTTTGAGTTTTTTTGTGGAGAAAGATTGTTCTTGCCCTACTCAAAGTGACTTTAGTGCCTATATTACTCTTGCTTTATGAAAGTTGCTTGAAATTGTGTTAAAATAGAGAAGGAAAAAAAAATAGGGTGCTAGGGCATATACACAGTTTGCAAATCCGTTTTTTAAAATTTTTCTTTTCTTTTTCCACAGCCAATTTTAGAATCAGGAGCCGTAGAGCTGCTTTGTGGATTAACCCAAAGTGAAAATCCTGCCTTAAGAGTGAATGGAATTTGGGCTTTAATGGTGTGTTACCTTTTTTTATGTCATAATTTACAAAGAGATTAGAGCTATTTTCACAGATAGAACTGTAGACTGTGTTATTTGAAATATCTAGAATTTTCTTTTTTAAAAATCTGACTATTAAGGCCCAGTTTTCTAATGATTGAAGGCTTGGAAGACTTACTATTCAGCTTTCAGGTTTATCTGTTAGCAGAATTAACACCTCTTGTGAGCAAGAGGGCTATGCCTCCGTTCTCTTCCTCCTCCTCCTCCTCCCCCCTCTTCTCTTCTTCTTGTTGTTGTTATTGTTACTTAAAGCGAACAGTTGTTGAAATTTCACTTTGCTGGTTTTAGAGCAACAAATTTTTTCTTATCATGGATATATATAAAAAGCTCCCTATTTTACAAAGCACTGCAGGGCAACTTTTTTAAATAAATTAGGGAGTATTCTTATCAATTTTACAAATAGTGGCACAAAACAATTATTTTTTAATTGACAAGTAAAAATTGTATGTTTATGGTGTGCAACATGTTTTAAGATATATCTCAGTGTAGGATTGAGCCACTTAACATGTATATTGCTTTACATACTTACCATTTTTTACAGATTGATTAAATGACTTGCCAGGTAAATAAATACTTAAATCTCTTAGATATAATTTATAATATTAGACTAAATTTATGAGATCAGAGAACAGCTTTTCTTTAAGATTATTGAAGATATTAAATTATAAAAGGAGTGCTCCTACAATGGCCTTTTTAGAAACATAACCATAGTAGTTACAGTTTTATTGTGTATCAGACACTAAGCTAGGTGTGTTATGTATTTTTTTACCTCTAATTCTTATTTCACACTGTAGTGGATCCATCTACCTTAGAATAGGAACCAAGGACTCAAGAGGATAATGCCCCACAGCCAGTAAATGAAAGAAGCTGGACTAAGCCTGTACGCTTTTCTGTATTTCATGCTTTATTTACTATATTTTTGGAATGGAACTTGAACTTTGGAATGGAAATAAGCACCAAGTCCAGTAGTTTCATGATTATTTTTCTACTCAACTTTGTACAGCTTTTAGCTCTTCTTGAAACTTTTCAGGGACTTGAGTTGGCTGGTTGGTTGGTTGGTTTCACTCACTTTGTACCTAGCCTCCTTCTCACCTATTTTTAGGAGATATTCTTCCCAAGTTTCAGTTCTCAGTTTCCAGTTCTGTTTACACTTCAGTGTCAGTAATTTTTCCTAGTAGAAGAAGTTACTTTGAAATCCAGATATAACTGTTACGTATTCCTCATATCTGTCATTTCAATAACCCTCAGGAGCTCCCTAACATACACAGTGTTAATGCTGGAAATTGAACTTAATCATCCTATTCTTTAAATCCATATAAACTATCTTATTCATATCAGTCTCTGTATTAGTAGTACCTATGTTCTGTGTTCATAGAGTTTAAAACCTTGTGATCCCTTTTAGCCTGGGTCTCTTAATGCCTAGGGAGTACTCTTTTCTCTGCTATACTGGCTTGTTTCATTGGTAACTTGATCTATAACTTGATTTGTCTCAGTTTCTTACAATAAGTTCCTAGAGAGCAGTAATCACATGTAAGTCTCTATTGTACAGGAAATTTTTATGTCAAACTTGACTTATTAGTTGTTATTTGGAATTTGCTTCTTTTCTCCTTCAGATATGTTGTCAAAGCTTGGAATTAAGGAGCGCTCATACGTAATGTGAATTTGAGAAAATTGAAAAAAAGTAGCTGCTGGGCATCAGGGCTTACTGGTAGTCAGGGAATATATACTTCCTGCCTCCAGACCATTGCCTGTGTGATACACCCCAGCTATCCCCAAACCTAACATAGTGTTGTGAACACAGTTTACATGTCAGTAGAGCTAACAAAGCACTGCTTATTTTCATCTATAATAAGTGAGTGCTCTGAGATCATTCTCAAAATACACAACACTTTATAATCATTAATAATTAGTAAAATGCAGAGAAGTCAGCTCAGTAACCATAAACAGAATAATAAAAGGCTAGATATGGTCACACACATGTGTAAATCCAACTTAAAGGCTGAGGCAAGAGGATTGCAAGTTGAAGGCCAGATTGGGTAGTATATCAAGATCCTGTCTCAAAATAAAGAAATCAAACATCCTGGGTATGGAACCCGGCACTCCATGTTTTCTATCCCCAGTACCAAAAAGAAAAAAGAAGTAAGAAATTTGTATTTATCTAAGAAATAAAAATTTCAAAATCCATGTTAAAAGCAATCATTTTTCTCAAAATTATACTTAGGAGTGTCAGTTACCCTGTTCTTGATTCACAGATACATATGTGATGAGCAGGAATAAGAAAAATAGTATGACTCCTAGTTAAGGGTTTTCTGCATACTCTGTACTTTGGAATTTTTCAGTTACTATTAAAATATAATTTGATAAAGTTGATTCTTGCAACTTCTTTAATCCTTTCAGAATATGGCATTTCAGGCTGAACAAAAAATAAAAGCAGATATTTTACGAAGCTTGAGTACTGAACAGCTATTCCGGTTATTATCAGATTCAGATTTGAATGTGCTGATGAAGACATTGGGACTTCTTAGAAATCTCCTCTCTACTCGGCCTGTAAGTAAAATCACTAGGCTTCCCAATTAGCCAACTTTGCCTATGAATTAGCCAACATTGTTGTCTCTCTCTGCTCCTATCAACATCTGCTTATAAGTATGATTCAAATGCTGTTTCTTCCCGAAGAAGCAAGGAGTTGCTGTCTAGACTTGTCCTTTCGTAGGCATGTCAGGAACTGCTTCACTGTGTGCACTGCTGCCACCACCTTGCACTGCTTGTCATCTCCCTTTCCTCCCTTGGTGCTAAATAGGTGTCTGCCTTTGTTACTTTATTCTTAACCTGGTTTTCTGGCCGGGATGGATTTTCTCTGCCTCAGTCACTAAACTCTGAGGCCTATTCTTATTTCTCTTTAGAGATTTATTCTCAGTGTCATTCCAAAGACAATTCTGCCCCACCCACATTTATAGAACTCTGTAGATGTCAATGGGCAAAACAGTTGGTATGTGTCAGAGTAAGAGAGCCGGAGCCTTGCTGGTATAATCGCTCATGGTGTTTTCTCTGTGTCCTTCAGGGTGATGAAGAAACATAGATGGCCTCCTTCTCTGTGTTTTATTTGTTTTTGAAGTCATCTTTCTATGTTTATGCCTCAAAACAATGTTCATAAACTTGTACTATATTTTCTATGTCTGTAAGGTTTTTTTCCCCCGAGATCCATTTTTTGTGCTACCTTTTTCTAAAATATCTATAGGTTTAAGATCTTCCATGATTTTAGCTCTATATTCTGTTAGACCAACTCTATATGCTTTTCATGGTCAGGTCATTAAAAATACATACATTTGAAGGCAGAATGCACCTTCAAAATATAATGAACACTGTTCTTTGGCATCTAGTTCTATTTGCTGTGGTATATTACAGTTATGTATTATATTGTTTGGCTTTTAGAAGCATTCTTTGTGTGATGCTTTGTTTCTCAGAAAATAATGTGGATTTCCCATTGTTTTCCAGCATATAGATAAAATAATGAGTACACATGGAAAGCAGATCATGCAGGCTGTCACCCTTATTCTGGAAGGAGAGCATAACATTGAGGTTAAAGAGCAGGTATGTGTTTCTTTTTTTAAAAGAGTATATGCTGAATATGAATATAAAAGTAGATCCCAGTAGTGTTCTGAAATACTTAAATATGCAGAAGACAGGGCTCAGATGGAATATGCCTTAAAGACAATAAGATCCTCCTCCGTTCCTTCTTTTTCCAGTAATTCTTTTCCTTGGAGTACAGGAAAACATAGTTTCACCCTTTCTACACACTGAATTCCCTGTTCTTGTCTCTATAGGAGCAGCATCCTTTAATGGAGTTGATGCTTTATTCTAGCATCATTGCTTCTGTCCTTCTCTGAATTTAAACTCCTGCAGCTTCCTGATAAGATTATTGCTCGTCCTGGAGTCAGATTTAGTTTCTTTACTTTAGGCATCTTCTTTTCTTAGTTGCTACCCCAAGCCCTATTTTCTGTTGAATTTTAGAAGGGCGAGCTCACAGCTGGCATGAAAGTACCGAAACTGCATTATCAGGAGACCGGTTAGGAATCACTTTTCTGTATTTTCTGGGATTTATTATGGGTGGTCTGAAAAATATATATTTTATATCTAAATACCTACTAGTTTATATATATGTGTGTATGTGTATATTTTTATATGTGTATGTGTATATATATGTATATATATTTCCCCTCCCCTTAAAAGTCACCTTCAAGGTTAAGGTTTTAAGCCAGAATCTGAATTAACAGTGTCTTCAATTTCCTAACATAGGTATCATCTAATTAATGTATTTATTTTCAAAATTCGTTGAGCTCTTCATATGTATGTATCTCTGTGAAATTTGCCCAAGCTCATTAAGTTGGACCCAGAAAGTCTAACTCCAGGGCCCATGCTTTTTGTCGTTTATTCCTGAGCTAGAGTAGTTCTGCTGGTTTATGAAGGACAGTCTAGGAAGTAAGGCTGGTAGAACTTAGGAGGTTGTTTGGAATTTATGAGCAGAAAAGGTGGTAGGTTTGACAAAATGGTTTTAAGTGGTAATTTATTTCTTTTTAAAATTAAATAATGTTATGATGGACAAACATTTAACACAAAAAATGTAACTTCTTAAGCATCACTGAAATGAGATGAAATGACATTCTTACTGAGACTCAACAATACATACCTACAAACATACATATATACATTGCTCAAAAGAAACTATTGGAGAGCATCAGAATGAATTTTGTCTATGAAGACTGCTCACCTGGATGGAATTCTGCTATCTTGAAAAGTAAAGCAAGATAGAAAGGCCAGGCAAAATTCAGACAAGGGCAAAAGAAAAGACCAGTAGCAATAGTGTATTTTTGCAGAACATGGATTGTACTATTGCATATAGATTTTGGAGATGGTCCAGAAAGAAGGATGTAAAAAACTTAAAATGTTTAAAATATCTAATTTAAGGCTTATTGTGATAATCAAGTAGTCTGTTATCAAAAAGCACATGTAGATCAACAGAATAGATTGGAGAGTCCAGAAATTGACCAACACATATATTGCCACTTCATTACCAGTAAAGATGCTAAGGCAATTAATGGAGAAAAATGGTCCACAGATGGTGCTGACTCAATTGCTTAAAAAAAAAAAAAAAAAAAAAAAAAACTTTAACTCATAAGATATGAGTTAAATTTTAGAAAAAAATTTATTCATAGGCCTAACATAAAAGGTAAAATTATAAAACTTGTGAAAAAAATATAGGAGAAAATCTTTGAGATTAGACAAAGGGTTCTTAGATATGACAGTAAAAACACCATCCAGAAGACATAAACTGATCTTCATTAAAATTTAAAACCTAAAAAAAAGAAAAAAAATTTAAAACCTATACTGTATGGAGTGTAAATGGAAAGTCAACCACTAGTAATTATGACTCATATCTTGTGGATATAGTGGAGACAGTGACCTGTGTCTTGAATATATAAAGAACTCTTGAAACAAGAATAAAATAACCAAATAAAAAACTGAGCAAAAAAAAATTGAACAGACAAATAATAAAATACCACTATACATCTTTTAGAATAAATCCTAGAAAACATACCAAGTGAATGAATAAACTATGGAATACCAGTCAATAATAAAGAGGAAAAAACTGTTAATAGATTCAACAACAGAAATGACTCTTAAGTGAATTATACTACATGAAAGATGCCAGATTTGAAAAGTAGCATGCTGTACAATTCCATTGATACGACAGTCCGTAAGAGAGAATCATAGAAACAGAGAACAAATCACAGGTACCAAAGGATGAAAGGAGGGAGAAGGGTTTGGACTATATGGGTAAGCACAGGAAAACTGGGGAGAGAGGATGTGGTAGAACTGCTCTGTATGCTGAATGTGACTGGTTGTCGTAACATTCTATACATTTGTAAAATAGAAATTACATCAAACAAGTAAAAGTTTACTTAACAATGTATAATTGCTTTCTATCAAATTTCTCCCCCAAAAGACCAACTGGAATTTTATTTTGATTGAGATAATATCAAATAGATGAATTTGAGAGATGTAACTTAAGAACATAATATAAAGGAAATAAGGCACACAAACTCAAATGTCACATGGTTTCTCATATATGAGAAACACAAAATATATAACAGGCTGGGCATGGTAGTGCATGCATGTAATCCCAGCACTCAGGAAGCTGAGGCAGGAGAATCATCACTAGTCTGAGGCCAGCCGGGGTTACAATAGTGAGTTGAAGGCCAGCCTGGACTACATAGTGAGAACCTCAAAATAAACAAGTAAAATAAAAAAGATAAATAGGAAATAGAGAAATGTTCAAATACTTCCCCAAGTTACAGATTTCGTTTTTCAGAACTATTTCAATATATATGCTAATTGTTTCATTTATATTACCAGTTTATCTTAGGTCATTGAAAAGAAAGTTTTGTGTTATCTGTTTCTTTTTTAATAAGAATCCTTTTGGTTTATATCTTATAAGACAGTGATACACAGTATATCTCTATTAAAGAATTTTGTTTTATTTTTTCATAATTTTTTTTAAAAACTAGATCAATTCTAGAAGAAGTGGTATCTTAACAGTATTGAATTTCCCAATCCATAAATATCTTGATGGATATTTAGTTCATCCTTAATTCCCTATAGTACTGTTTTGTAGATTTTGGTAAATCTTACATTTCTTTTTTCCAAAGTTACCCTGATATATGTCATGTGTTTGATGCTATTTTAAACAGTATTTTGGGCTGGGGATTTAGCTCAGCAGCACGAGCACCTTCCTGGCATGCATGAGGTTGTAAGTTTGATCCCCAGTACCAAAAAAAAAGATAATTTCTTAAAAGTATTTAAACAGTATTTTGCCTATATTTATTTTCAGCAAAATGTTCACCTTACTAGTATACAAATAATTTTAGAGTATTCGTTTTGTATCCAGTTATTTTGCTAAACTCATTTTTAAGTGTGGTAATCTTGGAGAAATGAAACTATTAGCCTATAGGATATTTGAGGATTTGGTCCATAGTAAGAAAACAACTTCAGGGGCTGAGGCTTTAGCTCAGCAGCTCCAGCACTTGCCTGGTAAGCACAAGATCATGAGTTCAATCCCTGGTACCAAAAAAAATAAAGAAAGAAAACAGCTTTCAGTTAGCTGAAGTGTACCACAGAATAGGGTTAGTGGCACACACCTAATCCCAGCTACTCAGGAGGCTAAGGCAGGAGAATTGTCAGTTCAAGGCCAGCCTGGACAACATAGCAAGACCCTATTTTTTTAAAAAATAGTTGGAGAAATATTTGAATCTATATCTTATCCCCACCTCTCATTCCTATCTTTGAGTGTTTGCTAACTGTGCCTCAGGACTCGGGTTTGGCTCCTCAAGAAACCTACCCTGATCCTTCCAATAACCAGCAAGTACTTTTTAACTTCAAGCTTTTTTGGTTCTCTGTTTTTATTTTAGTCACAATACAGGGAAACATAGTTGCCTATGTAATGACTTCAGGGAATGTCACCCTGATGGCCAGCAGCGGGCAGGTCCATGACAGATACTCAGTAAATTTTTGTTGAATTGTGAATTCTGGCATTGGTTTGGTCTATCACTGCTAAATTCAGCGTTACCCTACCACAGTCTTGTCACCTTTACTTTTGTCCTTGCCACCTGCTTGTCTAGCTGTGAAAATGAAGCAGCTAACAAGAAGAGTTTCTTCCTCTGAGGAGAAACTCCCATCCCCATCGTAGTAACTGTTCTCAACATATGCCATCTTGCCAGCTGACACAGGCTCCCTCTACTCTCACTAGCAGTGCAGCCTGAACGGAACTCCTGTACACATCTCGCATCCTTTTCTGTTCCTCTAAGAGGGTTGCACAAAGTCAAGCAGTCCTGTTACACATGCCAGTAACTGGTGGGCAGGGTAGGCCTTCACCCAGAAGGTCATGAGCCTAGGAGCAAGTAGCAGTAGAGCCTAGGGAAGGGAAGGGAGTCTGTAGTACCTATGAAATTTCTACCAGACACTGCATCTTTGAAGAATCTTATGGGTTACTCACAAGAGCTTCCCTTAGAAATGAAATTTTCAAAAAAAAAAGAAAACAGTAAAATTGCATTTTATTTTTTATTTTTGTGCTGGTAAGAGCTATACAACACCACTGCTTTACCTGGTTAATGCTCAGCAAGAAGCTGGGAGGTTCTCTTTTGTCCAAGGTAGACTTTGATTGGCTGTGGTTACTGATGGCAGTGTCAGGAGGTGAGAAATAGAACATCACTAATGAGACCTGTGAGAATCCATGTACCTTCAAGTGAGAAGTTGCCCAGGCTCTGGGGATCTTAAAGCCTTCTTGATTGCTGGGCTCTTCATTCTCTTCCAGACACTGTGTATCCTAGCCAACATAGCAGATGGAACAACAGCAAAAGAACTTATTATGACCAATGACGACATTCTGCAGAAAATCAAGTACTACATGGTAAGCCTTTGTCCTCTGCTGCGTTAGAAGACAGGGACCGTGGCAACTGTTGTCTTAAAACAGATTGAGCGGAAATTTTAAAAAGACTAAACTACTCCATATAGATTTAAGAAACTTTTTCCATTGTGAAGAAAATGAAAGAAGAAAAATACATGAAGCTTAGGCCATTGATAACATTTCCACCTAGCATCCCCCTCCCTATCCTAGTTTTCTGCTGATTGCCTCCCTCTTACACAGGCACCTTAGTTCCTTGCTTCCAAATACAACCTGCCACCTATTGCTGTGGCCATGCTGTGTATCATGTCATTGCCAAAAACTACCCATTGTCAAAATCTGGGTACCAGGCACTTCTCTTTTTACTTTGTCATAATCTCGAAGCAGAATTCTCATCATAAAGTGACCCTTCTTCCCTTCCAACACCACCCTGCCTTCTCCACCTGCCCCCTCAAAGTCAGCAATCGTGGAGGAAGGCACAGAACCAAGCTGAGTAGTTCACGTCACAAAACCAAGATAGGCACTCAGCCCTGCATAGTACCCTTCAGTGATTCTCTAGTAAGTTGCAGCCCTCATTCTTCCCGAGAAGAGGTTTTATCCCCTGTTCATTCTTTAAATTTAACCTCTTTACTCCCTTATCACTTTAGTGACAATCTCAGCTTTTTGTTTTTTTAAAAAGAATAAAAGTTAAAATCCTTCAATGGCTGTCTCTCTTGAATCAAATCCATGTCCTTATGATGCCTGTCAAATCCATATGAACTAAGCCATCCATATCCCAACTCATCTTGTTCCTCTCTTCCTTTTTGTTCACTACACTAGTCTCTTTCAGTTCTTCAATGAGACCATGCTCTGTCTTGCCACAGGCCACACATGTCAGCACCTCTGGCTGGAACACTTATCTCCCCCGTCCTCCTCACCCTTCAGATCGCAGCTGAACTGATGCTTCCTCTATGAACTCTTACCTCTTTTGGCTATTTTTAATTGTTATATAGATTATTTCCTTCTTTCAGAGCACTTAGCTCAATTATAGTGTTACGTCTTTATGGACCTACAAAGTATCTCTACCAAAGTGTAAGCTCTGTAAGAGTAGGAACTATGCCAGCTTATGCAGTTTTTTATCCATTACCTTGTGTAGTGCCTGGCCCTCAGTATATGCTCAATAAATATTTGTTCAGTGAAAGGGTACTGCTTCAACAAGGAATTTCCTGTCTTTCTAGTTCCAGATCCACACAGTATCTTTTGTCTTTTAAAAGTTTCCCTACAAGTAGTACAGCAATTGCCTAACATGCAAGAAACTCCCCCAGTACCACTGAAAACAAAACACACAAGTTCTCATTAACCTCCCATTCTCATTGAGGTACAGCTGTTTCTCTGCTGATGTTCAAGGTCAGATTTCTTAGAAAGCATCTTCTGGACATGCTGTCTCCTTGTTGCTTCTAAGATTGCTCTTTAGCCTACTTTATCGCCATTCCTCAGTTGAAACTGCTCTAGTTGGGCTCGCCAGTGATGTACATGATACCAAATCCAAAGGGCACATTTGTCTCCTCAGGTTACTCCACTTACAGTTGACTTCAATGCATTTGACCATTGCTTCCTGGAAACATTCCCATTTTTGGCTTTCGTGGCATCATAATTCCTTATTTACCCCTGTCATTTAATGCATGTTGTCCTGAGATCCTGGTTCACAACCTTGTTCTCATAGTAAAACCTGTTAAGAGAACTTCCAAAAACTATAGTCTTGTCCTCTCCCTCCCAAAACATATAATAGGTCTGGATTGTAGCCTGGCCATTAGGATTTTTTTTTTTTTAATTCTTTAAAAGGATTTTTAAAAAGTGGTATTCTTTGGCTGCGGGATTTAGCTCAGTGGCATAAGCGCCTGCTTAGTAAGCACGAGGTCACGAGTTTGATCCCTGGTTACTCACCTGCCCTCCAAAAAAAAAAAGTGATATTCTTAGGTAGACTTGAGAACCACTTCCTTAAGGGAATCTTATCCACCCAGTGGTTTATACTTTTATAACTATGCTGATAATTTTCAGATGTTTGAACCTAGCGTGTGTCTTTCTTTAGAGAGACCCATATATCCTCCTGTCTTAGTATCTTTACGTGGCTCTCTGATAGGTCTTGAGCTGGTGTTTTTAAATGAACTCTTATGTATCCATAAATTTAAATGTCTTATTTCCTGTTCAATATAATTCCATCTACCCCATTGCTGAAACTTGATTGAGTCTCTCTTGATTTTTTTTGCTCCTCTTCCCATATTCATCAATTTATCAATGAGCCCTCGAGCCCTTCCATCCAAAACTACTCTTGAATCTGTTTACTTCTTTCCATTTCTACTGTTCCCTTCCTTGGTCCAAGCCATGGTATTGTGACTGTATAGTAATACTTCTGCACTATTAGGTCAGTCCTTAAGCCAGAGTGATCTTCTGAAATTAAATGATCTTCTAAAAATGTAAATCAGATCTTGTACCTCCTCTGAATTCTTCAGAGGCTTCCTTTGAACCCAGAATGAAATCCAGAGTCCCTACTCTGTCCTATATGGACCCACAATTTGGTCATACCACCTTCTCCGAACATATAGCTCCTTTTAACATCAGATCTGTTTTGAGAACTTTTTCCTTCTTGGAACCTCTGATCCTTTGATTTTTGTGTATCTGGTAACTTTCTGTTCTTTAAGTCTGTTTAAATCCTATTTCTTTCAAACAAATAATGACCTCTGTGTACTCTATCTAAATTAAGTTCCCTCCCCTCCACCTCCATCAAGTGAGTGATGAATAGACTGCATTGTAACTACTTCTTATTGTATATACAAGGTTATGTATTCTTCTTTATTCTCTTTACTCACTTATGGCGTGAGGCTGAGAGCAGATGATAAGTTTTATTCTATTTTGTCTTAATAGAGCCCAAATTTTACATCCCTTTAAAACTGTTGGCAGGTTGAAGAATCACTAACTATAGAATTCTAATGAAGGAAGCCACATCCATTCCTTTGTATCTTTTTGGTAGAGATAAGTCTATCTCTACCAAAAGTAACTTGAAATTGGACATTGTGGCATATTCCTGTAATCCCAACACTCAGAAAGCTGAGAAGGGGATCACAAATTTGAGACCATCCTGAACTACAGAGTGAGAGCCTGTTTCCAAAACAGAGAAACTATTGAGCATGTAAATTATTTGAATATACTAGCAAGTGTTCTTTTAATTGACTAGCAGGGATTGCTTTACTATTCAGTCCTCTTTTTAGGAAAAAGTACTATATATGGATAAATGAACCTACTTAATCGGAAATGATTAAAGAAAAATAAACCAGAATTATGTTTTAAAAGACTAGGACCTTGCTCAGTCATTTGTGACATTTGATACGTACAATATTTGGTATATCAAGTAGAGATTTGGTCTAGTTCTGGGGGATATGCTTATAGAAGTAAAGTATTATCCCAGAAACTGAATGTGTTGTATAACTCTTAATTTTAGCAATTAAAGTCAAGAGAGTAAATCATTTATAAACTGGTTGTGTGCGAAAGACTAATTATTATAGAACTCCTTGACCATATCTTCACTTTCTTTCTCAAAGGAATTATTGGATCACATTAAATAAAATAATCAGTAGTTTACCAAATGAACATCCAGTTGGCTACAAGTGACCTGAAAGCATAGCCTAAAGTCTAAAGCATAGAATTGTCACATGCCATTGTTTCCATGTGCATTGATTAAACCATAAGTTACATACTACATCTATGACCTTAAAGGTATTTTGCTAAATGGGTTTTTAAAATTGATATTTGAGTATCTTTTGGCAAGGCTTGCAATCCTAAAATCTGCTAGATCTGCTGCCCTGCTCATTCCTGTTGTTTTTATCCCAGCCTTCACACTTACTAATGTTAACTTCCTGGCCTCTTAAGACATGACTTTGTGGGTACTGTTTCATATTTGAAGGCTATTAGAATTACCTGTGATACATTACCAGGGTGGGGGTCTGAAATGAGATTACCTCTGTTTTGATTTTTATTCCTTTTCTGCGTTGATAGGGTCACTCACATGTCAAACTGCAGCTTGCCGCTATGTTTTGTGTATCAAACCTCATATGGAATGAAGAGGAAGGTAAGAGATTGGTGAGATTTGTCCTGAGAAAATTATGGGAAGACAGTCTCACACAAGCAAGGCATTCAGCCTGAGTTCCTGGGCAGAGGTCCCGTCATTGGACTAACCATCCCTACCACCCTGTGAACAAATTTTAGTTTGAGAATCACTGTGATTATCTCACATCACCTGGACTGAGTCCCCACCTTGCAGTCAGCATTGGACTAGTTGTATTAAAATCACCTTGGACTGTGAACTACCTTGGGATTTTTGGTTCACTGGGTCTAGAGAGAGTGGTGCATGGATGATCACTATAGGGTCTTTAGTGGGGAAGAAAAACTCCCAGAGGAATGACTGTACTTGATGTTTGTGTCCAGAACAAAGGAGAAGGAGGTGATACTAGATTCAACCCATTGCTCTGAATATCAAGTAGAATCTGTGTGCCAGAGACACAAAGCCAAGTTTCGAGGTCTGTGTCTTATTAGGAGAACAGAGCAGTAAGAAATTGAAACTGCCACTTGTGCTGACCAAGAGGCAGCAAGAAGTGCTTGGAGGAAAGACAGCAAGAGACAGTAGGGGGGAAATAGGACATCTGCAAAAGAGAAAAGTCTGACCTGGCCATAGATGTATGTTCTGAAAGAAGTGACAAAGGTTGGGCCTGGTAACAGAGGGCTTTATATTAGGCTGACGATTTTGACCCTCTAGGACATGCATAAATGATACATAAATGAGTCTAGCAACAGAATTAAGGATGGACTGTAGAAAGGAGGGCCAAGAGAATACCTGTCTACCTCACGTTCCTTGTAACCAGGTAGCTTTAATTTTTTAGGTTCACAAGAACGTCAGGATAAATTACGAGACATGGGCATCGTAGATATTCTACACAAACTCAGTCAGTCACCAGATACAAACCTTTGTGACAAGTGAGTATCAATGTGAAAGAGCCTTGCTTTGGGCTTGGATTCTTTTATGAAATGGTTTAAATTCCTTACTAATTCACATAGCCAGCCTTCTAGAATCTTTTAAATTCTTGGATTTCATTTTTAGTATCCTGTGAGCCAACTGTGTCATTTGAGCGAGATGTAAACTAACAATTACCATATTATTAAAGTCTCCTCTTACTCTGAATTAGCATGTGTCTGGACCGTCATAGTGGATATCTGCAGAGGATCCAGATGCCTTCTTTTGATCATTAGAATAGCAATGAATGTGTCTTTTTGAAAAGCAGAAAGATCAATATCAAAAACATTTGATTAGTTGAAAACTTAACTGAGCCCTGCCTTGTACGAGCCTGGCCCTGCTGCTGGGGATATAGTAGAAATCACTAAGCAGTCCCCATTCTCAAAGAGCTTACATGTCATGGGAGGGACAGGAGTTATAATCAGAGACCTAGATAAACTCAGAATAATAGAAAATGCTCTTTTTAGTTGTATATACTCTTAGAACAGCCTTCATATCGCTGTTCCTAGAAATTACTTCATTGTTTAATAACACAGCAAGATACATCAAGTCTTTCATTCCAGACTCAGCATTTTAGGATCTGGCTCTGATGTTCTCATTCTTCAACCCTTTTTTCTGTCCCTCACCCCAGTATTAGCTTTGTACTGCAGCTGTACCTGCCTGGTTAAGTATCACATCTTGAGGTATTTGCATATTCTGTTCCACATGATTTACCATCCCAGCCGTCCCTTCCAAGTCACCATTCATTCATCAGATTTTTTTCTTTAATACGTGCCCTATTTAATTACCTACCCTCACTGTTTTAGGTATTGGAGATATAATGGTGAACAAACCTAGTGAAGTCCTTGCTTTCATGGAATTTTTATCCTAGTACAAAAGACAAACAATAAGCAAATGAATATGTAACACAATATTAAATATTATGAAGAAAAATAGAGCGAAGTAAGGAAATGTACATAAAGATTTTTTTTTCCATATGGGTTAGTCAATAAAGATTTCTCTAACGACGTGACTGATCAGAGACCTGGATAGGAAATGAAGGAGTCTACTAGACAGATGTTGTCTTAGTTATTTTTCCTTTGCTGAGGCACAGTTACCCAATATCCACAACTTACAAGAGAACAGGTTTATTTTAGCTTGTGGTTTCAGCAAACTCCAAGCGAGAAATGCATAGTGAAAAGGGCTGGGTCAGAGGACAGTGCTTATCCCATAGCAGCCAGGAACAGCGTGAAAAGGGAGGACTAAGGGAGGGAAGCACCCTTAGTCCTCCATCACATGTCCCCAGAAACCTGCCTCCAACCAGGTCCTACTTCTCTAGCTACTTAACCCACCAGTGAGTCAGTCTACTGATGAGTATAGCACTGCCATGATCCAGTAACCCTCCAAATACTTGAGGCTTTTGAGAGACATTTTCTAATCTAAGCCATAATATTCTGTCCCTGGCCTCCAAAAGACTTATGTTTAGATTATTATGTAAAAATTCATTTAGTTCATCTCTGAGAATCACCAAAGTCTTTTAACAGCTTTAGCAGTGTTGAAAAGTCCAAGTCCAAAATCTTCCCTGAGACTCAAGGAAAACTCTTAGCTGTAAGCACCTGTAAAAATCAAAAAAGTTAAATACTTCCAACATACAGTGGCATAGGGTAAACATTCCTGTTATAAAACAGAGAAATAAGGAAATAGAAATTGGCCCAAACCAAGACCAAAAGCAGAGCAAAAATTAAATCTTATAATTCCATGTCCACCACACAGAGCAAGTTGTGGTAAAATCTGAACTCCGAAGGGCTTGGGTGCTCTTAAGGCAATGCCATTTGCAGCTCTCGTATCTTTTCTTGGGGAGGCTGTACTCACTGTCTATGACTTCCCTTAGCAGATGATCCAAGTTCCTGCCATCTCCAACCTTCTGGGGTCTCCACTGTATTGTTGTTTTCACACTCACAGCTTCACATAGAGGCACAGTGCCCCCTCAGAGGCACAATGTCTGGCCTTCCCAGGACTTCTTCTGAAATCTGGGTGGAAGCCTTCTGACCCTGTAACGCTTACATTTTGCACATTTGAAAAAATCAACGCTACCTGAATGATGCCAAGGTTTGCTGCCAGCTTGCGCAGTAGCCATGCCCTAGGGCCATAGCAATAAAGACCTTGAGTGTCTGGATGGCTGAGCACAGTAAATCAGAAACAAGGAATTGTTGGAAAACAATTCCTTAGGTGGATGGCCTCTCCAAATCAGAGTTTTACAGTTTTATACCCTTGAGTCTCTAAGAATCATCAAGGTGTTTAATGGCTTTAACAGTGCTGAAAAGTCCAAGTCCAAAATCTCCTCTGAGACTCAAGACAAACTCTTAGCTCTGAGCTCCTGTAAAAATCAGAAAGCTAAATACTTTCCAACATAAGTGGGGTCTTGCTCATTCTGAGATGCTATCAAACTATCTTCCCTATTACCTTGATGCATTGCTTGACTTTTTTTAATGTTAATATTTGCAGCAACCATGGTCTCCATGGCCCTAAATTTGCAGGTACTTCCTTTCCAATGAAGCTATCAACTTTTCAAATGATTTAGCTCTGCCATTTGGTCTGGCCCATAGTACCCATACACAACTTGAATGTTGGGTTGCTTTGAAGTTTCCTCTGCCAAATTAGCCTACTGTTCCTAATGTCAGGTCTCTTGCAAAGTCTCAAGATATGGACAAAATGAAGACAAAATTTTCTGCCAGGCATAGCACATGTGGTTTTTAGCACAGCTGCCAGTGGAGTCCTACTTTCCAACCGAAACTTCTGGAGCCTGGCCTTTCCTGTCTGCATTTTGATCAGCATTCTCTTCTGAACTCTGACCCATATTGCTTGTCAAGCTCAGCATACAGGTTCTTTAGTGAGCATCCCCTAAACCTTTCCAACTCTTCCCATAAATCAAAGTATGTCAAGTACAACCATGACCTACCTTTCTTGTTCCGGTTTTAGTCATTTTCCAGTTGCTGAGACACAATACCTGACATTCATAACTTAAAGGAGGAAGGGTTTATTTTAGCTCCCAGTTTCAGTCCATGGACAGCAGGTTTCAAGGCAGAAATGAATGGGCCAAAAGAAAAGACTGCTGCTTATCCTGTGGAAGCCAGGAAACAGAGAGAAAAAGGAAAAGCTGGGAAGAGAAATATACCCTCCCAGGTCATGCCCCCACGAACCAACCCACCTCCAACTAGGCCCCACCACCGAAGAGCACATTTAGCTACTGAACTCACTAGTGGATTTATCTGCTGGTGAGTATACTGCTGCCTTGATACTGTTATCTTCCAACACATGTGACTTTCATGGGTCATTTTTTTAAAAATCTAAGCCACAACAGATATTTAGGTGAAAAATATTCCTGGCAAAGGACATGCTAAATTCAAAAACCTGAGTCAGAAGTGAACTTGGCATGCCCAGCGAGAAGACCTATACAAGAAAACCAATGAAAGTGGAGGAAGAGCATAGTCATAGGTGAAGGAGCCAGAACATGAAGAACCTGGTAGACTATAGTAACAACTTGGGCTTTTAGTCAGAGCTTAATAGGAAGGCATTAGAGAGTTTTGAGCAGAGGAAGCATTACCTGATTTGAGTTTTTAAAAGATCACTTTAATAGTTCTATACAGAATCACCTATATAGGACAGTAATGAAGGCAGGTGGACCAGTTAAAAGGCATGCAATAATGTGGGTCTTTATAATGAGGGTGCCCATGGTGGAAGACTGAGAAGTGATCAGGTTCAGAATTTAATCTGAAGATAGAACCATCACAACTTGTCCATGAACTCAAGGTAGCATGTTAAAAAAAAGAGAGGGAAGGAAAATACCTAAGTTTCAGCAACTGGGTTGAGGGTATTGCAGTTCATCAAGATGGTGAGGAACATAGCAGAAGAGGGGGGACAATTAAGTAGTGTTATTTGGATGTGCCAATTTTGTTACACCCCTTGACTTTAGGGGAGAGTGGTATAGGAGATATAAATTTTGAAAGTGTTTAAAGCCATAGAGCTAGCTGAAGTCACCAAACAAAGAGTAAGAGTGAAGGGAAAGAGAAGTGCTAGATTCCTGACATTTAGGAAAAGATGAGAAAGAGCAAAAGACAGAAGGAACAACCAGTAGAATAAGAAGAGACCTAGACACATAGGTGTCCTGAAAGCAAGGGAGGAGAGTGAAAAGACAATTGGCCATTCATCCTTCACATCTCAGAAAAGACTGTCACGGGGCTGGGGATTTAGCTCAGCGGCATAAGCGCCTGCCTTGCAAGCAGGCAGTAGTGAGTTCGATCCCTGGTACCGATAAAAACGGAAAAGACAAAAAAAAGAAAAGAAAAGACTGTCACTTCTTCCAGAAGCCTTGCTTGACCTACTTCCTCTGTGTTCCCACAGTACCCGCAAAATACATCATACTGTGACTCAGCTGCCAGCTTGTCTGTCTTCTCTGCTGAAGGGAAGCAGTACTTATAACTGCTCCTCAAAAGAACAGCTATTCCAGACTGTGGAGCACACAGAGCAGGCTGGTCTTCAGTTTCACTGAAGCTTCCAGTCCTGTAAGTCAGAAAACAAGTTCTTGATAACTGGAGCCCCAGGCGATGGTCACATGAGTGTGATATCAGAAGCAAGTGAAGGCCAGTGCATTCTGCAGGCTGCATTTAAACTTATACTTTAGGGCCGGATCCTCTACTTCCCCCTTTGCAGCTGTGGGCTTAAATGATGGGCTGTGTCAGCCACTTCTGGTTGATAGAAGTTTCTGTGATACCTCTACAGTAGTGAAAACAGCTCTCCTTAAAATGGAATGCTAAAAAAAATGTCTCACAAGCATGCAGTTGGGTAGGTGTGGGGAGGAAAAGAGAAGAGGGAGGAAAGAACAGTTAGGTGTGAACCATCCATTTTTAAGACCACCTAAGAAAAGGTGATCTTATTTCTAAAGCCATCCATCTGAAAGACTCCTTAGATAATAATAATAGAGAGATGTAGGGGTATAGTTTCTAGACCCAAAATAATCAAATAATCTGAGTAGGATCTAGCAAAATTTGAATTGGCAGTTTCAAAGAGTGATAAGGATTTTAGTCAACACTCTTAGGTAACATTTGTATTATGGCATCTAAAAAGACATCTCTCAAGTTCCTTTTGTCTTCAAGTCTTTGTGATTTTTCAAGTCTTTGTGACTTTCAAGCACTTTTACAGTTGGAGGGGCTATTACTATCCAGCAGTCTCTATCAGAGGCTCACTGGGCCTCTGGTCTGCAGGAGTCTGGGGCTCCCATCTCCATCCCAGCTCTCTTCTTAGGTTCTTCATGGATTTTGAGAGGCAGTTAGATGATTATTAAGGGGTATATGTACCATATTTGTAATCTTGTTTCTGAAAATGTCCTTATAGAACCCACCTTGCCCAGATATAGCACTTTCTGTTCAGATGATTTGGACTAATAAACACATTTTCATCTTTATACAGTCATATACAATTGCAAGAATACTCTTTAATGTACCACTTTAAAATTGTAAATTATGTCTGTTTACTTTATTATAAGAAACCACACCTGAATCCAACACTTGAATCTACCGTATCAGTTTACTTGATACTATTTTCATCAGCAGACAGTAACTGAAAATTTTACTTTTTTTTTTTTTATAACTTAGAAGAGGACACCATTGCTAACACCAACTTGATAATTTCACAATTGCATTCTTAGGACCAACTCAAAGGGGGGCTACTCTTACAAGGATTGGAATGGGTTAAGTTGCTGTTCATATTATCCTTTCCTCTTCGCTCTAACCTTTTTTCCCACTTAACAATCCATGTCCTACATTGATCTCTGATGGTGTCATCAGAGGTGATAAAAAGAACAAAACGAAATTGTAACCTTGTATGGTTCTGAGGCATTTGAACCGTGACACAGCCTCATCCCATGGGCTCTTGGCCCCTTCCGTGTGCTTTCTGGTCAACACATCAATACTTTTTCCTGGGTCAGATTTTCTTCCTTCTTAGCATCCATAACCCTTAATGTCCTTCCCTACTACTGTGCATCACTAATAAAACCTACAGAAAGAGAAAGCAAAATCTGGGCATGGTGGCACATGCCTGTAATCCCAGCACTCAAGAGGCTGACCAGGAGAATCGTTGCAAGTTCAAGACCAGCCTGGGCTACAAAGTGAACCCAAGGCCAGCCTGAACTGCATAGCGAGACACTGTCAAAAAAAAAGACAATACCAGAGAGAGAGAGAGAGAGAGAGAGAGAGAGCAAAGAATTCTAGATCCATCACAAGTATATCCAGTGACAAAGGAAAAGTAAGTATAGAATGTCAGCAAATAGGACAATACAGACTGTCATCAAGCTACAGTAGGCTTAAGGATAAGAACAGCTGTCCAAGAGAAGCTCAAGGAGAAGAATATAGCCAGAATGGGTTTGAAGTGTCTGCTGACTGCAGCCCTCTATCCTTAAGGTGTCCAGCTAGGCTCATTCCCATCTCTTGAGAACTTGCCTTCTTAGATCCCTTCAACTACCCTTGTTGAGCCATAGTTTTTTGGGTTTTTTTTTCTTCAGTTATATTTCTGAACTGGTGGCTAACAGGAGCTTTGTGGTTTCATGATTTCAGGGCAAAGACGGCACTGCAGCAGTACCTGGCATGATGGGAGCAAGCCTGGGCGCATGTGAGCACCCCACGTCCTTGTTTAAGAAAGTACAGGAACTAGCCTCATTTGATTCCTTCTATTTGCACAAGTCACCTTGGACTGCAGGGAGCTGTTTTGCAAAAGCAATTTAGTAGGCTTAGATCTCATTCATCTTGAGAACATTTTTTGAGGTAGTAATTTCCTCAGAGGACTGTGTTTTGTTTTGGTTTTTTTTCTGAGCTACCTGGACTCTTTATTAGAACAATCAATCATTTTCCTTTGGACCTACAATTTTTTGCCTATGCTGCAGCCACTTTGTGAGTAAGAGTGAATGAGTGTGTGTATGTGTGCGTGCGCACGTGGGTGTGTATACATGTGAGTCAAAATGAGTGGATGTATGGATGAGGGATACCTCAGATTTTTCTTTTCTTATCTTGTGTGAAAATCTCTTTTCTACAGATTTTCCAGGGTTTAAGCATTGCTTGCTGTATAAAAAACTTTACTGAATTATATACAGTTTGAATGAAATGTTATTTTAAAAACAAAACAGTTGTTTAGTGTTCCATAAAAGTTATGTTGAATTTTGGTCAGATGAATATTTGTAAGTAAAAAAAAATATATGCACTTCTGAACCTCAACTTACATAGATTTTCTTTATAAAAACAAAAACAAAAAAAAAGAAAAAGTTGGCTATAGTTGGCCTGAATACCAGGCATTATACATGGTGCTGTGCATAGTAGTAAGCTAGCATCTTACTGCTAGCATCTTACTGCCATCAATATTCGCAGGTACAGAGCCTTTTCTCAGCCTCTTTTAATAAGTCTTCAGGCTTCAAAGTCAGAAGAACAGGGTGGAGTGGAGTGAAATGAGGTGACAGACTCACCATAGTTTTTGTAAAACATCAAAGGAAAATTAAACTACTGATAGTGAAAGCCCAGCCAGGACTTCAGCTGGCCACCCCTGAAAGGAACCGGGACCGAGCTGTCCTAAATCCTGTCATTGGTGTGGCAGTATCTGGCAAAGAATTGGATGTGGAATTTTATGCGCAAACTAAACGTAGGTTGTCACTTCCTGGAAACAAAGTCGGATCACTTTGTGCTTCCTGAAACAGCATATCACTGTGAAACTAGAGTTCTATGGATACATCTGTAGAAAGAAGCAAGAACAGAAGGTAGTTTAGAAAGTTATCTCTCTCTTAGCTATCTCAGCAAATTTTGTACTAACTGCTCAGGAATGCTAGATAGTGTGCTTTTGTCAAATGAGACCCAAGATCTTTTCCTGCATGACTCAAGTTGAGAGAAAGGAATCTTCCCAGGATGACTGAAGATGACTTCTTCTTACAGAGAGTACTGCTTAGCCCTCTACAGCCCTTGGCCTGGCATCTGCTCTTGCTTCTGGCTCAGCTTCTAGCTGGGCTCAACAGCTTGCTCTTGACTATTTAAAGGCAGAACCAGCTTTCCTTTTCCCTTTGCTAGAAGAGCAGAGGCATCAAGGCCAGGATGTAAGGCCTTTGATCCAGAAGCTTGCGGTGAGTGTGTGCCCCTAAGGGGACCCCACGCCCCCTCACCAGCCAGTCCTGATGGGTTGTTCACATTGCAGCCGCTCTGTCACCATCCCACACCTTCCTCCGAAGACTCAAATCTGACTGATCGCAAATGATGTTTTTAAAATGTATTTGATGCAGTGTTTCCCATTCTCAACATGGCCACCCAAGATTCAAACAAAGCAGTTTCCAAGTTGTTATTTTTTCAGAACTTCACAGATTTTAAAATCTGACATAACAGGAACATGGGTTTTGTGCAGATAGCAGAGTGCTAATGTGAGCCAAAGTTTCAAGAAAACCTAACATATTGGAAATAAAGCCTTAGTTAGGCCCACCCATTATCATTTCTAGGAATGAAAAAATATTCTTGGTTGGCATTTGTAACATAAAACACTCCAATGTTGGTATTTAAAAGTACCAGTTAAATATATGGAAACCAATAATGACTGCTGAGACAATCTTGAACACAAATAGTATTAGAAAGCTGAGGACCCAATGAGGTAACATGCTCAAACTTCAACTCTGAATGAATCTTGCCTGTGACTAAACACAGTGGGCAAATAAAAAGTGCTTTATGATAATTAACTTGTGATTTGAGTGAATGAAGGGAAATGTATTTATTAAAACAGACCTGTTTGCTGCTTGCCACAGGTGCAGTGTTCAGTCAGCAAGGAGGTAGGAAGAAGGGGACGTGATCTTGTGTCTGCTACCCAGGTTCTTAATGGCTTCTTGCTCTAATACTGCATTTTGTTTCTCCTCTTGTGCCCTGATTGTAACCCAGAATTTATGAACTAGAAAAGAATGTCCAGTTTATTAAGTTGCATTTTTCCTTAAGCACTTTATTCAGAACAGTACATGTTCTTCTTTTAGTGTTTGGATATGATTTTAACACATGCTAATAAAAGCCAAGAAAAATCATGGCAACTTCGAAAAAGGAGTCTGTTTTCCAAATGTCTGGAACATTAGGAAACATTAGAAGATAGTGTGTACTGTCTTCTGGAACCTGTGATTCTTCGTGAACAAAGGGTTGAAAAGTAGCTTTAAAAACGCTTTGCTGGAAGCTAGTGCACCTTGGGGCAGTTAGGACTTCCAGAAACACCTGCAGCAATCAAGACCCCCACTCCTGGCCTCCTGAAGACAGCAGACCTTTGCTAAGTGGCCATTCCCAATCACCAAGACATAGCCCCCTTGCCCTGCCATGTTGTATCTACACCTTCCTCCTTTCCTTAGGTATGCCACACCACCACTGCTGGACTTGGGTCATTTTGGCAAGAGGACCCTCTGCACTGTGCACAAGCAGTGGCCATCCCTCTGCAAAGACACAGATGCACTCGATTGCTGTGTGCTGCCTTTTCTCTGTCTCTGAAATGTGCACAGCATCTCCCAACTCAAACCCTCACTGGAAACAAACCCAAGGATGCCTGCCCCAGAGGATGGGGTAGGGGAGGACAACGAGATGGCTGGTAAGGAAGGGAATTGTAGTGCAAGGAAGCTCTGAGAGGCCCTGAGAGGATGGGAAGCCCAGGCATGCCCCCATTCTCATAACTACCATGAGGACTGAGCAAGGAGAGGAAAGGCCATGCCCTCCCCTAGGTCCTCAGGGAAGGTTAGCAGCAAAGGGCACTTTGCCTCCTGGGATGAGCTGGTGCTGACCTTCCCTAATTACTGAGCAGAGGCATGTGTTTGCTTCTCACATGATGGAAGTTTCAGTCTAGGACTTAGCTAGGGAAAGCTGAGGGAGCCCCCTGGAAGGTCATGGGATTGACTGCCGGGCTACCTTTCCTGGGCTTTGGCTTTGCCAAGCCATCAGCCCTCTGAGGCAGGGCCAGGGCCAGAGCCAGCGCTTTGAGTGAAGCCTCCCCTTATGACCTCATGGGGCAGCCTGCCCTGCTCCATCAGGCACCTACACCGAGGATCTCAGAGGCCTTACTGCTCAAACAGGCCCATCCCAAAGCAGCTTCTGGTGTGAAAAGCCAGGCCCAGGGCCTCCACCAGGAGACTGTCCTCAGTGAGCTGGCAGTAAGCTCTTCTCAGGAGTCCCCTCAGCACCGCTCCCCTATGCCATTAACCTTTGGGAGATGCCCTGCAGTACTAAACCCACACCCTGGAGCAGCCTGAGTAATGGAAGGCGTATGTCACCATTCTCCCACTTTGGCCCTGTCACATAGTGCCTCTTCAGCCCACACCCTCCTAGCTACTTCTGGAAAGGTTTAAAGATTCATGAGTGACAATACGTGGCACCCTCAGCTTAGCCCCTCCTCTTTTGGAGGTTCAGTCATTCTGTCTCTTATCTCATCATGATGGAAGATCTTTAGCTTCCTGCTTGGGAGATTCTGGTAGCTGTTAGCTAAGTGTAACCCCCACTCCCCACACCAGTTACTCATTCAGAGCTACCTGTGGTGTAGAAGCCTCCTGAGTGTATAGCTGTTATGCTCATCGAAGTCACTTTCTAGCTCATATGGGCACAGATCAAGCAAGTCCCCCTTGAGCCCACACAGCCTGGGGTTCTGGAACAGTGGGTTCTGCTTCCCTACAGCCCTGCTGAACACTCACACAGGACACTGGGCAGATCCTGATGAGTGAGCACTGTGGGTGGCATCTCCATCCAGAGGTGACAGATGGTCACAAAAAATATCAGTGGCTTTAATGGTAGGGCTACCCACTATCTCAGGCCAGAAAATGCAGTGCCTCCATGGTGGGCTGTCTTCTGGGAATCCACTGACCATTTAAGGAACTTCAAGTCCTAGGAGTGCACTCTAGAAAAAACCAGCAATGAGAGATTGCTGGCATTTCCCTTATGGTGTGAAAGAACACCAGCCTTTTTCCTCAGAGAGGCCGGGGTATGCCTGGGTTTGGTGACCTTACAGTAAGACAAAGCAAACTGGCAAGAGAGAGTGACAGGGCGCGGTAACATTATCAGGACTTCCTGGTTATTTTTTATCATATGCTCCTCAAAGGAAGTCCCTTGGAAAGCTGGCAAAGCCAGGTGACTAGTGAAAGTTGTAGGCAGCCTAGCTACACTTAGAACTTTTAGGTCTAAAATTAGGCCTTAGTGAAAGAAGTGAGGAGGAAGTATCAAGAAAATTAGATGAATCCTGGTTCCATGTACAACTTTATGTTGCTTTTTCAGTGTGTCCTGATTTGTGGAGGGCCACAGATGGGCAGATCAGATTTGGCAGGGTTCGGTGGCTGTTCTGGAAGCTGGTTTATATATCTGCCCCCCACATCAGTGTGCTGGCAGTGTCACAGCGCATCTTGCTGAACTCTTTAAAAGGTTCATAGCTATCAGGTTAGCATCTAAAATTGTTCATCAGTAGAGTAGGTTTATTGTTGAGGAGGCAGTGCCCTGTGTGACTCAGGATCCCCTGAAGATGATGCCATGTCCCAGCACAGTATAGCAACTAATGCGCAAAATCCAGGGAAAAAAAGTTTTCTGTTCTGTATACTGTTTAATAAGGCAAGAAAGTACTGCTATTTCATTGTCCCCAAAGACAGCTAAACCCAGAAAGCACTGGTGCACAAAAAGTTACTGTTGTGAGGTTCCTTCCATGCAGTCATGAGTGCTCAGACATTTCATGGCATGGCCTTGTGGCCTTGTGGCCTTGGCCTGGGTCATGTGCTCAGAGGAACAGCACAGCATCTCACTTCATGTCCTCAGGGGTGCTCCTTCAGCCTCAGCACCTGTGGGATGACAGATGTTCTGCAGGACTTTGGAGACACAGCAGAGGCAAGTCCTCCTGCCCCACCCGCCATCCACGAAGAAGCAGGGAAAGAAGAGTCAACTCTATCACCGAGGCCCAAGCTGGGGGGACAGCTCGTGCGTACGTTAGGGACTAGGACTCAAGAGAATGGAGGTTAAGGGCTTTACACCCTGACTCCTTTTGTCTTCACAACAGATCTATGAGGAAGATGATTATTATGGACTTACTAGTGTAGGGTTATCACCATTATCTCCATTGCACGGATGAAGAAAGTGAAGCCCACAAAAGGGAAGTAACTTCTCCAAAGCTATGTAGCTGAGTGGTGGAAAGTAACTTTCCCGAAGCTATTTAGCTGAGCTGTGGTGCCAGGATTGCTCAGGACTGTCTTTGTCTATGGAGCTTGAATCCCACATCCTTAGGGTCTTTTCCTTGGCAGGAAAAGCACCAGGTAAGTGAGAGTACATTTTCCCCCAAACAAGGTCAAAACCCCAGTGAAGCCACTTGAAAGCAGTGCTTGCAGTGCTTGCTGGAGGCCGTATAGGCACTTATTCCTGAGGTGCCATCTGGACTCAGACTATTTCCTCTTTGTTACCACCTGAGGCCAAAGAGGCTCTAGATCTCCCAATTCTCCTAATGCTTCCCAGCTAGTTCATCCTGCTGCCGGACTTACCCCAAAGTTACACCTGTGTGCCTCCTGTGACCCTGGGCACAAGGGAAATGTACCCTGCGTTTAGATCTAGGACAGCTGACCCTGGCAGGTGTATGACTGAAGAACGACATGAACTGGGCTGGACTCAGGTCTCCTTGAGCCACACTTGCTAGGATTTCCTGACTTCCTAAGCTCTAGTGCACTAGGCTGCTTCCTTAGCTGGCAGTGAGAAAAATTACCTCCCTGGGCCACAGCAAGTGTTCAGCAAGGGGCAGTACAAGCCAGCTCCTGCCTGCCTTATCTTGCCCTCTGTCCACTTAATTCTGACAAGGTTGGTCTTCAGCTGTTAAGACTGTGAGCATAGCAAACATTTACACAGACATTGGTTAAGATCCAACCAGCCACATGAAGTTTATTACCATTTCAGATCCACACTGGCATTCCTCCCAAAGATCCAAACCTCTCTTTTAGTTTTTCCACGGATGTTCATCTCATACCCCAGGCTTTCAGCCTCCCCTCAGGTAACTCAGCAGCAGGAATGGCACAGGCGAAGCCCAGTTCTTCCTCTTCTTACTGTCATAGGTACTCTGGATCCCTTGGGTTCTCACCCAGATTTGGAAGTGCTAATGGGTCTGGTGCATCTCTCTAGAGGCTGTGAACGCTCCCCATGAAGGGGGAGATCCTGGGCTCTCATCACCCATGCCAGTGTGGACTGAGGAGCAGAGGGCCACAGTGGGCTCCCCAACAGGATCTACTTTGCAGCCCTTGTTCTGCAAGCCCAGTAGGGGCTCCACCAGGGGTCTGTAGAGCATGGAAGACATGAAAGGGCACTCGGCTTTGAAGTAGGCTTTAGAAAGTTTCGTACATTTTCCCAGCAGTTTCTACATGAAAATGCAAACAAAGTGTCTTTTCAATGAAAATGTGACTCCAAAATAATCAGTAAATGTAATGAGGTATTAAGAAACAATATTGTTACTCTATGAAAACAAAAAAATAGTTTAATATTGATACTGAAGTTACTTGATGACCCATATTTCAGAACAGGACTTTATTAGATTGAATTACTAACTAATAATTATCAGTCACCTGCACACCTACTTAAGCACATAGTGACAAATTCCTCTGAGAACTTACCCTGAGAGGTTTCAGTATCTTCATCTGAAAACTTAAAGCTGGGAAAAAGCAGTGCCAGCTCTCTGTCGGCGTCTTCTCTGTCTTGGCTTCCATGGACAGCATTAAAGGGCATTTCTGTGCCATATTGAGCCCGAAGACTGGGAACATTGGCAAAATGGAAAAGAAACACAGTTGTTTCATTTGAAAAATAATGTTTTGCTTTCTGACAGCATGACTGTCAGCTACCAATCAGCACTCTGCATTTCTGTGAACCTGCTTTCTTTTTGTAGAGCTAGAACAGCAGAGATGATAGCAGTAGCTGACAGTGATCAGGCGCACTGCTGGCCAGGTGTTTTACATACAGGCTCTCACTGCATTTTGTGGAGCTAGAAGGGAGACTGCCTTAAACACACATGAGGAGAGGGGTGAGCACAGGAGCAGCCATTTTGTCAGTGCTACATAAAGGGCCAGCACTAAGCAGTGTTAATCCTCACAGTAACCTCATAAGATAATAGCAATGTGTCAGGACTTCTGAGTGTCCAGCACTGTTCTCACTGCCTTTATCCTATTATGATGGCTGCTCATACCCTGTTTTACAGAGGAGAGAACAGAGGCTGATAAAGGGCTCGCTGAGGATTAGTCCCAGCTTCTTTTTCTAGCCCAGCTGCTTAATACATGAACGTTCTTGGCATCTTGTAAGGTATAGCTGCAGTTTCTGGGCCTCTGAGTTTCCTGTCATCTGAGTCTTACAGGTTCAAAGGCCAAAGCACACTGATTTGGCATTGATGACACCTGGGTATCTCATAGGGCCAAGAAGCAGGCCACACCAAACTAGTGCAGTATGGTGAACAGCATGCTCAGGCTGGGCACCAGATTGTAGCATGAGAATGTCCACATCTCCTGGCCATCAGAGAGCCTTTGTGTTACCCACACCTCTCAGTCCAGTGCCAGTGAGTGTAAGTTTTCAGATGAAAGGAAGGACCACCACTGGTGACAGTACCTTTCAGGCTGCTCTCTCCTGGCCACATTGGGGTCACTGGGTCCCATGAGGTCTCGCCAGGCAGTAATCACTTCCTCAGTGTCTTCTGCTCTGGTGAGGATCAGGAGATGGCTGGGCCCACTGCACATGTGATGGACCAGCTTTCCAAAGCCCTCCTAGTCACGGGGAAGGAAAAGGGTGACTCAAGGTAGGAGCTGGTGAGGCCTGAAGAGGGTCAGGGAAGCCATCTTACCCACAGAAGGGGAAGAAGCTAGTAAGCAGCCTTGCCACCAGCCAGCATGCCACAGGACTCTGCCGCCACCTGACCATCTGCCTGCTGTGGTCTGTCCCAGGCAGGGCTGGTGGTGACCAAGCACACCATGAGAACCCAGAAAGGTGGGGCTTTAAGTGGACTCAGTTGGGATTGAATGTAAGTTAATTATAAGCAAGTATACAGAAGTACTGAAAAGGCCATATATGTGGAAATCATGTATGGACATGGGGTAGCCAAAAGTGGGATACAGTCGAGACTTAGTGGGGGTGCGTGCTGGGGATTGAACCAAAGGCTTCACACAGGCCAGACAAATGCTTGATTACTGATCTACATCTTCAGTGCACCCCTCCTCTTCCATTTTTCATTTGAGACAGGGGGATCTCACTCAGTTGCCCAGGCTAGTCTCAATGTTATAGTCTTCCTGCTTCAGCCTCCTGACTAGCTGGGATTATAGCCACTATGCCCAGGATAATAAATTGTTATTTCATTACTTAAAATCAAAATCTTTTACTGGAAACCACTAAACTTTACCTGATATAGACTATAGTTCTGAGAGCAAATTCATGACCCACTTGCTGTCCACATTCTTGTTCTTTGTAATAAATAGCTCTTCCCAAACTCCTATCAGTCTGTGAGTATGATGTTGGAGGACAGAAAGAAATGAGTGTTGAATGTCCGGAAGCAGAGGGACAGACCTGTCCAGCTCTGTGTTGGTAAAAATGTCGCACTTCTGCCTCTGTCAGAGTTCTCTCTTCATGTGTTACAATGTCAAACCCAGCTTCCTGGATCTGTAGAGTATACGTAAGTATTTCAGAAGTGTAAATCAAGCCAAAATTTACATTTAACTAAAAGGGGAAACAATTTTTAAAAGCCGTGGGGAACCTCACATTATCTGCCACAGTCAGATTTACCATTTTAATTTACTTGATCAGAACTGAGTTACAACTCTTTAGATGCATTCTCTCCTGTCCCCACCGCCTGCCGGACACTGCTGCTTGATGCGTCACCTCTGTTTAGCCACCAGAAAGGACCTGAGGACAGTCATACAGGTAAATGTTCCCTCTCTTACCTTCATAATAATCTCATCAGTCTTCCCATGGACCACTGCATCTGGTTTAATGACGGCCAGGGTACAAGTCTTCGATGACACTGAAATAAGTAGGGAAGTGCTGGCAGGCAGCGGTCTTGGAGGCAGAGATAGCCTTGGCTTCCATGTTCCCTCCCGGGCTTCTTGGCTGTGCCCCTACAGACCTAAACTCCAGGAAAATATAAGGCTGCCCCAGTGCTCAGCCTCAGCCTAGCTTCGAGGCAAGGAAATAGGCTCAGAGAACCCAGGGGTAGGGAGGGTGCTAACAGGTTCTGGGAACAGAAGCTCAGAAGTGAGAATCACTGAATGGCAGGTGGAAGCAGCACAGGCAGCCCAGGCACCCTCCTCCCTTCCCGCCCATCTCATCTGACTCAGCCTCTAGCTGCTTCAAATACAGTATCTACCTTGCTTCTGCTTCCTCTTGTCTTTCCTTGACTCTTCAGCTCCAGTACATACTACCATACTGCAGCTGCAGTCCTGTCCCTGAGAGCAGGCCAAATGGACCTACTCATTTTGTTTTGATTTTAGGATTTTCCGTTTATGGTTTGTAGTGCTGGGGGCAAACCCCGGGTGCATGCTAGGCAAGTTCTGCACCACTGAGCTGCATACCCAGCCCCAGCTTGTTGTGCTGAGCAGAAGCATCAGTCATAGGTCATTGGCTGGTCAATGGATTAGCTGCCCTTGGGTCAGCGTCTACCATCCAGTCAGCTGAGCAATGAGGGCGGGGCCCCAGGAGCAAGCCCACTGCTGAGCCCCAGGCTGTGTCAGGCCTGCAGGGAGCTGCAGGGGGATCTGGTCATAGGAACCCCTCTCCATTGCATTCCCACATATACTCTGGGGCCTCGGTGGCGTCCAGAATCAACATTCTCCCAATTTTCTGCTTCTCAGCTTTATATTGATTGTGTCACAATGAAATCAAACAATGCGTACAGTTAAGGAAGGTTTTCCACTCTGAAAATCTGAAAAAACATGACCTGGAAGAAAACTGTGGTTTCCTACATTACAGAGACTTAATTTGGGAAGAAAATGGAGGCTGGAAGAAAGAGGATATAACACAAAAAGGAAGCAACAAATGTTTTCTGCAGAAACCAGATTGCTCCTGCAATTAGTTTTCTTTTCACACTTAAGGGTTTCCTTTACCTAAACTGTCTCCTTCTGTGTTAGACCAGCTCAAATGCTTCCTATCCATATAGGAAGACTGCCTTTCTACTGCATGCAATAACAATTTTAAAACTTCCTTCTCTTTATCAGCTTAGCTCATGACCTAATCTGGTTCCCCTGGTGTTCCGGTTACCACCACGAGATAACTCCCCAGCAGCAGCCTGGCCACCTCAGCTGTCTTCACGTTCCAGGCCAGGTTGCTGTGGCCAGGGGAAAATGCAGGTAGGGCTGCTGTGCCCACAGGTGTCAATCCAGCAAATTGCTACCCAGAATAAGGGAAGGAGTAGGGTATGAAGTGCTTTGTGTGGCGTGTGGGGCTGCAGGGAGGAGGCTGTCTGGTATTTTATAAAGAAACATTAAAAGAAGCTTCAGCTTCCCAGTTCAGAAAAGGATTAAGAAAATATGACCATTGCTTTATACTACTAGTGTCATGACTCCAGGAGCTTTCCTGATGCTGGGTGACTGCCACGAGAGTCCTTCTTATTATACTTGAACATCATCAGAAAGATATGAAATATACCCAGGATGCTGTTAAAGAGCAGAAGGGAGATTCAACATGGAATGTTTGAACTCAGGCAATGGGAGGCAAAACATCTGCTGGTCGGTATGCCGCACAGTGTTCTGATTGCTCAATAACCAGATTACTCAAATTTAAAACACATATCAAATTGGAATCTGCCTTGCCTTCTGGCCCTGCTTGTTGGTTCTGTACTCACCAACATCTTCATCTTTGCCATCATCTTTTTCATGAGAAAAGCATTCCTCTTCACTGGAAAGAGCCTCATCTTTAATCTAGAACAAACCAGTCATGACCAGAGTTGTAGTTAGCCAGTTTAAATTATCACCAAGACCTTCACAACACTGAGAAACAACAAAAACAAAAAGGTTAAAATATAAAGCAATAGTAAAAGAATGTCAAGATTATCGAACTCTTACACACTTTACAAGATCTTTTCTAGTAGTTGGAGGGGGTGTAAGAGTACTGGGACTTGAACTTAACACTTTCACACCAAGTTAAATCCCCAGGCTTTTGTTTGTTTGTTTGTTTGTTTTGTTGTTGTTGTTGTTGTTGGTTTGTTTGTTTGATACAAGGTTTCACCAAGTCACCAAATTGCCACACTGGGCTTGAACTTGAGATCCTCCTGCTTTAGCATACCAGACTGCTGGAATTACACGGGTGTACCACCATGCCTGACAAACATTCTACTCTTTGGACAAGTGTGTATGTAGAAATTAAGGAAAAGTAAAGAATACATAGTTGATAAGAAGACTAAAAAAGTGCAATAAATATTTACCAATAGGTTGTATAGTACAGAGAAGAGAGGTTTAGATCATGGTCCCCAAAGGAGGCACATGAAAACGTGACCATTTGCACGTTTTCTTACTTGAGGAAAAATGGCTAGTATTTTATTTTGGAGGGGGAGATGATTTGGTTATACTCTACCTTATAATAAAAGGGCTTTGCTGTTTGGAATTAAATATGAACATCTGAACACTGAACAGTGCTCCGGTGTGTTTGGCAAATAAACAAAGCATCTTGAATTACTTCCTTCTATCTACGGTGTCTCAGTTTTCAGAGGCAGCCAATTACTTGTGAAGAATGTGCACGTTATTATGGAAACACCTGCTCAAAATTACGAGCCATACTGACTCTGTTTCTCATGGTAATGACAGAGTTTGATTTCTAAATTAGAGAAACGAATTGTCTGCGGTCACAAGTGAAACCTTCAGGACTGTTGAGTGCGTGGGTCACCAGGAAAGACCTCCCCTTGGGACAGAGGAGGTATCCTCCTACCCACTGCCTAGAGTTTGGGTAAGTGTCCCCCAGGCGCCCATAGGGCTTGGGCCTCAGCTTGACATTATCAGAAGGTGGTGGAAACTATTAGAGGAAGGATTTAATGGGAGGTTTTAGGCAACTGGAAATGCACCATTGACAGGGTTTTGAGACGGGGTTTTTTTTCTCTCTCTCTCTGTGGTTGCTTCTCTGCATCCATGAGGTGAGTGGCTTCCTCTACCACACACACCTGCTTCGCTGAGCACTGCCTTTCACAGGCCCAGAAACAGTGGGTCCAAATGACCTTGCAAAACTGTGAAACAAAGTAAACCTTTCCACTTTTAGGTTGATTATCTCAGAAACTTTGTTACAATAACAGAAAGCTGACTAACACACCTCTACTCAGTTCTGTGAATTTATTTTCCTTTCTGAGGTATTTTTTTTTTCCTACTGTTTGTTAAGAGTTGCAGTGGTGGGAGAAAGAAAAATGGAAAGGATCTAGATGAAAGGGACAACTTTTTAAAAACTTCAGCAGATTATAGACATATCACAGTGGGCCTCCGATACTCTCTTGAACCCTCTGTGAGGAACAGACCCAGCATGGCATATTTATGAAGCTTTCCACTGACAACTGCAGGTTAGCCTGGGGCAGTGTGGGAGGGACCTCTGGCTTCCCACCACAAGCACACGTGTGTGTGGCTCGTAGAAAGGGCCTCCACTCACCACTTGTCGCTCCCTGCCTTCAGCCAGCACCTTCTTTTCAGCCTCCAGGTGGTCAAGGATGGTCTTCTCCAGCAGAGGGGCATTTGCTCCCCTAACCACTGCCACCAACTGTCCTCCCTGAAATGAATTACAAATCACATGACCCCCTCCTCATGTAGTTAACCTCTCTTAAGAGACGGCCAGAGTGTTTAAAAATCTCTTGAAGGTCAAAGCCATCACCCACCCTCCCTGCCCACAGTCTGAGCCATCTACTTCCCATGTGGGTTGTTCACCTCTGCTGCCAGCTTCTGGGGAGTCCCACCAGGATGCCCTTGAGTCTGCTCTTAGTTCTACAGTGATTTTCTCTTGATCCAAGTGTGGTGGTACACACCTGTCATCCTAGCATTCAGGAAGCTGAGGCAGGAGAATCACCACAAGTTCCAGGCCAGCCTGAACTACATAGCAAGACCCTATCTTAAACTCTTCCCCTACTAAACCTAATTTCCCTCTGTCCTTCTGATCTGTGCTTTTTACTCTGTGCGCCTTCCTTCAAAGCTTCCTTCAGAGCAACTGACAGTTGAAGAAAGAACAGTATACAAAAGTGGTAAGTGATTTATATATGGTGTATTCAATTAGCAAATATCTACCGAGCACTTTCTAGGTGAAGGTAAAGGGTATTACAAAGCACTTACTAGGCGAAGGTAAAGGGTATTACAAAGCTTAAAAAGACACAGTCACTGCCCTAAAGGAAGAAGGAAGTGGCATACCAAGTAAACAATTATGATACACTTTTGACCAACCAGTTGGTCAACCCAGTTGCCTGGGTTCAAATATTCTGTGGACCGCAACTGTAGTGTACTTACTGCGTAAAACAGAAAGGTGGGCTCACACTTCCCCCGGTATTTTTCAAGGACATCAAGGCAGTCTGCCTCTGCCTAAAGAAAGCAGGTTGTTAGCAGACACTTGGGTACAGTAGATGTGAGGCCACAGGAGCTCCGACCTCCCCAAAAGTCCAGCTCACATTCTTTTTTTTTTTTTTTTTTTTTTTTTTTGGTCTTTTTCCTTTTTATCGGTACCGGGGATCGAACCCACGACTGCCTGCTTCCAAGGCAGGCGCTTATGCCGCTGAGCTAAATCCCCAGCCCCATTCTTGCTCCTCCTTCTACACTTGATCTCTAATCAGAGCTCTCTTGTCAACACATTAGTGAAGAACTCTCGGCAGCCTAGCACCTTGAAAAGCCAAGGGATGAGGAAGCAAGAGTTCCCCCAGCTCCCACAGTGACTGCTCCCATCTGAGGGAAGTCCACCAGCTAAATCCTCCTGGAGCCAGGACTGGCAGTGACAGACATGAGCGGTCCTTGGCTGATGCCTTCACTGTCTGATAAACCCACTGTTAGAGACACTGCAGCCCCCAGCAAGCTGTGTGCAGCTCACTCTGAGAGGTGCCGGAGCTGATGCTCCCGGCAGGAGGTGCAAGTCCTTGAAGTCTAGCTTCTTGGAAGCTTAGTGTGAAGTTGCCTCTCGCCTTTATTACCTTTGAACCTCACACTCACGCTGTGTATCAGCAGTACCTCTGACACACATTAATCCAAGTAATGTTTGCTGGAAGTGCCCCTTTCTAAAGCAAAGAATGGAAAGCTTGAAACTTTGTGCTCCAAAAGTGATACTTGAGTCAACAGTGTTCATGAGCCAAGGTGGAGCATACGCACTGAAGTGACATGTACTCCTTCCCTTTACACAGGGTGAGGAAACTGCCCAAGCCAGCAGGACTCTGGGGAGGTGATTTCTCTTTACGTCTGGAGAAACTGTAAGGCATCCTGACAATACCAGTAACTGATGCCTCTCAGTAATCTGAAAAAGCCAGTTCATGCTTCCCATTCCTTACTGTTTCTCCATTTCATTTTGCAGGGTTGTACTACTGATGCCAAGAATCTTACTAATGCGAAATGGAGCAGGTCCAGGCCCAACTCGATCCTCATCTTCTTGAAGAGGCTCACCACGGGTTTGCAGGGCCCACACCAGCCTTGGTAGACATCAACGACTGCATGGAGCCAAGAAGCGGGGTTTATTCCTGCATGTTCTATCCCCCCAAGGAGACATCTGTTTACAGGGGTACTCACTAGAGAAAGGGATTTGTCATCTGATTATGAAGCAGCACAGAAGCACAGCCTTCTCTTATTTTCTTATGGACTCAGTGTACTGAATTCTAAATATAGTGAAATAAGTGCAACAGAAGATCATTTCCTTAAGATGGTTCATCTAGCAACATGAAGTCTGGGGAAGCTGTGAAGGCCAGTGTATCTGTCACCAGACACAGGACCTGCCTGGCCCATCATGAAGCAGCAGCCAGTGCTAGATTGTGACTCATTGGTGGCCATACTTTACAGAAGGGATGTTTGCTACAAGGCCTTCCATTCATGGGTTTATGTCTGGCCCACACAGGTGGCATTTCTATTCAACAGCCAGAGTAGCATAGTCACAGGAAGATAATACCATCACAGTGGCCTCTAGCTTTCAACATTTGGAGGGGACAAATTCAAACCACAGTACAGCAAAACCAAGTTTTTGAGCCAAGTCTGTCTGATCCCATAGCCCATTCTCTTTCCACCTGCTCCTGGAAAGAAGCAAGAGTCACCAGCTCAGGAGTATTATTGATTGGTCCAGCCAGATAGCATAGTTCTGCAGTCAGTGAGACCAGGCTGGCTATGGGAAGTGAAGAAGACAGATAGTGGTGGCAGTGAGGATAGAAAGGAAAGGAGGAAGGAATATACACCTTCAAAAGGAAGTAGAAACACAGGATGGAAATCAAGTGTGCATGAAAAGAATCCCGCCCTGAGCCTAGCAAAAGAATGGGTGAGCTGGATGGAGATGGCTGATATAAACTCAATTCTAGATGAGCTGGGTTTCGGATACCAATCAAAAAAATCAATGATAAAAGGCAACCAGATGCCCAAAAGGAGACTGAGAGCAGGAGAAGAATTTGGACTTCCTTTTTGTCCAGGGAGAGGTTAAAGCTTTTCTGGAAACAGGACTTTCACAGCTGACAGATAATTTGGATTTCAACACTCTATAGTCATGCAGATGGAGACCAAAAAGGGTTTTGGGATCAAGCCAAGAAAGCATCTCGGAAGACTTAAGACCCTGTAAACATGTCCAGGGAGAAAGGCAGATGCATGCCCCAAAGATTAAAAAAAGGGGGCAGGGGTCAGGCAGAAATACATTAAAATCCCTCTGCAGTATTTGTGTTGGTTGTTCACCTATCATTCCTACCAGCTTCTCATACCCTTTTGTTCTCCTCGGCTGGGGGATGAAGGTACATTTCATAAGGTTATGGAAGGAGTAGGGGATTGACTCTGAAAGACAGGAAGCAGAACAGAGAAGACACCTGGAAGGAATGGCAGAGATGAAGAACGTGTGTGTGTGTGTGTGTGTGTGTGTGTGCACCCACATATGCACTTGTGTGTACAAACCTGTTTAGACTTGCATGTTAGAAGGCAGATGAAAATGAGCCGGAAGATGGCAAGAGTTCTCAGATAATGGTTGGCTTTGGAAGCAAGTTTGTGTCGGCTCTAGAAAGAGGGAGGCAATATATCCTGTGCATGTGTGTGCGTGGTGTGAGTGTGGGTAGTGTGTTTCTCTAGCCTGCCTAGTGAAAAGGGCTGAAAAGAGCCCTTCTTCCTTCGGTCGGCAAAGGTCCAAGAACCATGCTGAGCAGGCTCAGCAGACTCCACGCACAGGAGATGTTAGCCACTGTCACACAGCGCTCAAAAGGGTGGCCTGGAACATGGCAGATTCTCAAAACATCATTGTTGTTAAAGAAATAGAAGTAATGGTTTGTCTTATCCCAGCATTGTGTTCTAGTTGTCCAGATAAGTCACGGGGACACAGTTAAAAAGGGTTTGCAATCCTTCAAGCAGGGGAGTGTGGCAATACTCATCCCACAGGACAGGATCAATATGACCAGCACTGATTTAGCACAGGCATGGGAGAGTCTGCTACAGGATCAAGATGAAAAAGCTAACTGTTGCATTAGTGGCCAGAACAGAGCAAGACAGAACCCACACTGACAGGGGCCACACCAAACGGTGTGCAAGGGATGGGGGTTGACAGAGCCCTAGGGGCCCCTAGGCAGAATGAACCGCACGGAAGTTCGGGAAAGGTGTCAAGCAGGGAGGCTACTGGACAGCTGGTCCTGGGAGTGAGAAAGGTATCTGTGGGTTGTGATGGACTGTGCTGTTCACAGCACCCACCAATAATACAAAGAAGTGGGAAAACTGTATGTTCAGGGGAGATGTCAGAGCTCAGGACATGCCTCAGGAAACAGTAGGAAGGGCTGGAAAGACAGATGGATTCACAAGACAGGGAGAGCTCTTATATGCTGAAGAGTCATTTGGTGAGAACTAGAGACCCCAATGGATAGGAGCAATATGAACAGTCTTATTTATAGGGAGAAGAAATGAGCAGACAGTTATCTAGGAAAAGCTGGTCACAGTGGCCCACATCCATAATCCCACTTATTCTGGAGGCTGAGGGAGGAGGATGACAAGTTCAAGGCCAGCCTGGGCAACTGAGCAAGTCTCAAAAGTTTTTAAAAGGCTGGGATGTAGCTCAGTGACAGAGCACTTGCCTCACATACATAAGCTTCTGGGTTCAATCCCCAGTTAAAAAGGGGAAAAGAGCCAGGAATGGTGGCAGGGAATGATAATTCCAGCTCTTGGCAGGCTGGGCTGGGAGGAGAATGATTTGGGGCCAATCTGTACTACACAGTGAGCTCAAGGCTGGACTACAGAGTGAGACTCTACCCCGAAAAACATGGGAGAGGGAGGGAATGCCTTTGAGATTAGATCAACAAGGCTTTTTTCATCTGATGTACTCTGAGTCCTGCTCTAGAGCAAGCCAGTTACCACCAGTTACCAGTTACCAGTAGCTGCAATGAAAGAGGAATGGGAGCCGGGTGTGGTGGCTCACACCTGTAATCCCAGCACTTGAGAGGCTGAGGCAGGAGGATCGTTGCAAGTTCGAGACTAGCCTGGGCTACAAAGTGAGCTTGAGGCCAGCCTGAACTGCATAGAGAGACCCTGTCTGAAAAGATTAAAAAAAAAAAGAGGAATGGAGAGAAATCAACAACCAACAATCAGTGAGAACTTAAATCCTCAGACACCCACATGAGTACACCTGGAAATCGATCTTCTAAGGTCGGCTAACAGCCACTAGATGAGTTTAGGAAGCAAACCTACCCCCAAATGGAGCCTTGAAATCCTCCATCTGACATCTTTCCTGCACCCTCGTGAGCCCCAGTGGTCACCCAGCTAAGCTACATCTGGATTCCTCACCCACTGTGGGATACTACGTGTTTGTTGTTTGGAGCCATTAGTTTTAGGATACACAGTTATGCAGCAATATATAACTCATACAAAGAGGAAAGGGATGAGGAAGCTGTGGACAGCGTCTATTGGGTTTCCCTCCTAGTTGTGGAGCTTGGTTCTCTATCCTGTGAATTTGAGGAGACCCCCATTTTCCTTCTAGTACATTCTCCTTTTTTTTTGTATCACAAGTTTCTATGGCTGACCACAAAACTATCCTGAGTATGGCAATCAGCTCTAAAACAAGCGAACTCTGGTATCTAACAGTACTGACTCATTTCCTGAACTGAATTTATGATGTTCAAGCCAGATATAAATATATGATATTCCCCCCGTATCCCAAGAGGATACGTTCCACCACTCCCAGTGGATGTCTGAAACTGTGGATACTACCAAACCTCATAGAGCACGTCCATACCAAGACAGTTCATCTGATAACTACTGAGTGACTAATGGGAAGCATGGCCACACTGGACCAAAGGATGATGCGTGTCCCAGATGGACTTCATGAAATTTCACCATGCTATTCAGAATGGCATGCGATTTAAAACTTATGGTTTATGTAGCTCTAGAATTGTCTAACTTAATATTTTTGGACTGTGGTTGACAGCAGGTAACTGAAACTGCGAAGTGCAATCTCAGATGAGGGGAAACTACTACACACACAAAGAAGTCACCTGGTTCATTTCATGAGGCTCCCAGTTACAGGAAACGGTGCTCGCCGAAGCCTTTCTCTTTGTGTTCATCACATCATAAAACAACTTTGAAAAGAATGTATCTAAAGAATATTTCATTTTAAATTACCAGTTAGTCCTTTGGTACCGAGCATTTCTTCCCAAAGCTCCTGAGTGCTGATGTTGACCTAGAGCCGAAGAGGATAAATGGCTGTATTAATGAGTGCACAAGTGGGAAACTGAGGCAGTGCATTTCCTCTAGATTCCTCTCTTTTTCTCTGAGATATTTGCAAACACACTTTAAGTTGACCTCACCTCTCCCCAGTCTTCTTTTCTACTTCCCTCTCTTCCTCCCAAGGAAAAACCATTGGCCCAAAAAATGATTTGTAATTGGCATTTAATGATTCTCAGGCATTTAAAAAATAATGTTAGATGCTCTTTGTCCAGAAACAATATACAAAATTGCTGTCTTTAAAATATATACAATCAGTATCACCCTTTAGGTTTTCTTTTGCAGTTTGTGTTTCCATTCAATATCAAATGTAATTAAAAGTTGAATCTACTACTATTCATTTTTCTCTTGTCTACAAATAATTCGGTTCTGTGTTAAACATGAAAGGCAAGGAGAAATGCCTTATCCATCCTTGTTAATAGTATACATGTCTGTATACTACATACAAAACATATTTTTACTTTGAAACTTTGCATTTTAAGTACAATTTAAAGAAGTGTTTGGATTTTAAATTCCAAGTACAGCATAAAAAACATTTGGCAGTATTTCTGAGTTATTTGAAAGTAAATTTTCATGCGATATCCCCCTAAATGTACCATCTGAGTTATTTGAAAGTACATTGTCACTTGATATCCTGCCCACCCTGAATGAATCATCCTACATAATCACAATACAATTATTAAAATGGAGGCCATGGATATTACCATTTAATCCTGAGGTACCATTCAAGCTTTACGTGTCGTTTCAATAACGTCTTCAATGGCAAAGGAGCTAAGCAAAATCATGTGCTAGACGTATTGGTCAAACCTCTCTAGAATTAGTCTGGAGTGATTCTTCAGTCTTTCTTTCATTTTCTTTACCTCAACACTCTTGAAAACTATCTGCAATTATGCACTGTAGACTGTCCCTCAGTGGACTGTGTCTGTTTCCTGCTAACTGACTTCATATGGTGCATCTTGGTTGAAGTGTTAGAGAAGCTGAGCAAGTTCTCATTTCATCCAGTCAGGTGATACCCAATTTCCACCTGCCTATTTTTGATGTTTCTACCACTGTATCAGGATGGTCTGTCAGGCTCCTCTACTAAAAAAGTATTTTCTTTCCCTTTGTAATAATAAATTTTCATGGGGAGCTACTCTGCAACTAAATACCTCAGAAGACCCTGAAAATGATAACTTCTTATGAATACAATTATGCTAAAGTTTGTGTCCCTGTAAAAAAATTAGACATATTATCTACAGTAATGGCAGGTAGCATATAATACCTGCAGATCTTCTATTAAAAGTCCTCTTTTTGTTTGCTCTTTTTTTTTTTAACTTTTTATCGGTACCAGGGATCAAACTCACAACTGCCTGCTTGCAAGGTAGGTGCTTATGCCGCTGAGCTAACCCCCAAGGCCCTAAAAGTCCTCTTTTTAAAGAAGTATATCCTTCACTTTTTTTTGGTTTCTATTTTTTAAAAATCAAAATAACAGCTAGGCATGCTAGCACAAGCCTGTAATTCTAGCTACTCAAGAGACTGAAGGAAGACCATGGAATATTTGAGGCAGTCCTGGACAACTCAGTGAGCCTGTGTTTTAAATTTTAAATATAAAAACAAAAGTTCTGGAGCATGGGATCATATCTCAAGGGTACAGTGCCCTGGGTTCAATCAGCGGGGCTACACACACACACACACACACACACACACACACACACGAGAAGTCCTCTTGATACCATAAATGATATAAGCGCGTTGGACTAACGTTATTCTCGATTTTGGACCCAAAACTACAGTCCTGAGGCAAATGGTAGGGGGATCAGAAGAGTTCACATTCAACCCAGAGGCTCAGCTTTCGTCACTAGCAACTCTCTGTGGCCCACCCCTGCCATGGAGTGACCCACACCAATCTGGGCAGCACTCTTTGCAGTTGAAGAATCTCACCCCTAGAAGCAGAGGAGGGGCAGAAAAGTATGGGAAATATTTGCTCTTCACTTTTTTTCACATTTGGTAGGGAATGAGTGAGAATGTGAGGCATCTTCTGATCAGATTATCCCTGGATGCCGCTCCATTTCTGCCTCAGTCACAGAAGGAACCGCAAATAAACTTGCCCAGAGAGGACAGCATTCCTAGTTTGGCAAGAACCTAAGCACTGCCTTCAAAAGATTTACTTTATAGAGAGGTGACAGTTCTGCAGATGTCTCTATGTAAGCAAGGAGGTGATGCCAGTCATCCTCTTTCCACAGCAAATGATCTCATAAAAAAAAATCACTTTCCCAATTCCAGAGCCCATGCCTGCTTTGTTGTTGTTGTTTTTATCACGACTTTACCATCAGCAAGCACTTATTGTCCAGATCCCAGAAAAAAAGGAAAACAGACAGTGGCTTACAGATTCACTGCCCTGGATGCAAATGAAATAAAGCACTCTTATATAACGAACACTCACCACCTAATATATCCCAAAACACTCTGCTAGTAAGTGGATGTGTAAAGAGAAGTGGGAAAACAGGGTCTACACGGAGCAGTGCTGCAGATAATGTCCCAACGCAAAAGAATTTGTTTCAGAGTCTCTAAGCAAGCTGCAACTGTGTTTCAAAGTGTAACAATCACATGGTATTATGATGGTTCATCTTTTATTGATTTTGTAGTTTTAATCCATACTTGGGTCTTACGGTTGTTTAAGCGGGAAAAACTTCTGACAGGGCGTGGTAGTGCAAGCCTGTAATCCCAGTATTCTGAAGGCTGAGGCAGGAGGTTCTGTGCAAATTCGAGACCAGCCTGGGCGACCAGTGAGTTCAAGGCCAGCCTGAACTGCATAGTGAAACCCTGTCTCAAACACACACACACACACACACACACACACACACACACACACACACACACACATTTGTCATCAGTATAGTCTAAAGTAATTTTTTTAACTTTAAGACAGAAGACTTTAAGAATCCTGGCACATACTGCTAACAGAACGTCACATTTAGAGGGCCGCCTCCCCCCGGCCCGGGGCTGGAAGCTAGCGCCCCCTGGGCTCACCTGCAAGGCGATCTCCTTCTTCTTGCTGCCCATGGCTCTAGAAAGAAGCGCTCCCATCAGCGTGGGCTCTGCCTTTCCGGGACGCAGCCTCCCACCGCCCTACTTTACGGTCTCAGAGGCCAGAAATCTGCACCGACGTGAAACAAATACTCTCGGGGTCCCGAAGCCGCTGCCCCCGCGGGTCGGGCCGGGCCTGGCCGGGCCGGGGACGCGCGCAGGCTGGACTGGCGCGGAGCCGCCTGCACCCATTACAGCGCCTGCGAGGACATTCGGACACACGGAACGACAGAGGACCCGGCCGTCCGTACCTTTTCCAGGTCCTACGGGGAAACAGCCACTGCGAAGGACTCCGAGCAGGTCCACAGGGCTCGGCGCGCGGGGTCTCCAACTGACTATGCGGCACCCCAGGCCACGGTCGCCTTGACAACGCGGCGCCCCGCCCAGGGGCCGGGAAAGTCAGTAGACACGGAGGCCACGCCCACTCGGGGAGCCGGCTTGTCCTCTAGCGGAGGCTCGGAGCCAATGGTCCCGCCCCCTGCCGGCAGGATTCGGCTGCGGGAAAGCTCTGATTGGCTGGAGCATAAGTCAGTGTCTGGACCTTGAATCAAAAACTTTGTCCTTGTATATGCTGACATGTGAGTTCCGGAATCCTGCATCCTTCCGACCCTGCCCGTCAGAGCTGATGTACAGATTTTCTTTCATTACTACAGACTTCATGATGCGTGCAAGCAGGAGATAGGTTTTGAAGGTTTGCTTAAAACAAGAACTACAAACTGGACGTGCTGGTGCATGCCTACTAATCCCAACTCTCCTGAGGCTGAGTCAGGAGCGTCCTAAATTGGAGCCTGGACAAGTTAGTGATTTAGTAAGATCCAGTCTCAAAATTTAAAAATTTTTAAAAAGGGCTGGGAGTGTAGTTTAATGTGAAGATTCTGGGTTCAATCCCCAGTACCTCCGAGAAAGATTAAAAGCCTACAAAATCATGAATTCAAAATTAAGTATGAAAGTCAAGTGAAACAAATACAAATGCAATACAGTTCATAATCATAGCCAACATTAACCTGAGTGTATCTATAATCGCTTTAAATATAACATACCAATTAAAGGATAAACTGTTAGTATGAATTTTAAAAATGAGGCCTAATTTGTGTTATCTGTAATAAATCATTTTTGTTGAGCATGGTGGAACATACCTGTAATCCCAGCACTCAGGAAGCTGAGGCAGGAGGATCACCATGAGTTCAGGGCCAAGCTGGGATACATAGTTCAAGGCCAACCTGAACTACATAGCAAGACCCTGTCTATAAATAAATAAATAAAACTTTAAAATAGATGCAAATTAGAGGCAAAGGAATAGAGAGAGCTATGCCATGTTAACACCAGACAGAAGAAAGGAAAAGTAGCTATTTTAACTCAGAAAAAGCAACTGCAGGAGGAAATTTGTCAGAAATAAAGTGGCATTATATAAAGAAGCCAGTTCTCTAGGACAACAGCAATATGTAATGTGTTTGCTCTTAACAACAAAGCATCAAAATATGTCAGGTGAAAATCATTAGAGTTTTACACACACACAAATAAAATCATTATAACTGAAGATTTCAACAGCCACTGTTAGAGTAACTGACAGATCCAGCAGGCAGAAAATGAGCAAGGATAGAGCTGAACTGAACAACATCAGTCAGATCTATGGAACTGACATTTGCATAACGCTTCATCTCCCGGCAGCACATGATTGTGCTCAGGGCGGTTCAGTTCATTGACACAGTGGGGGAAAGAAGTCAGGAAATCCTCTGTTGAGGAGTAAATGTGAAGAGAGGAACTGGAAGCCATGGACAGAGCATGATGCTGAGGCATCCACCAGCGAGCTTAGGTGGCAGCTCTGGTCTGCGGTGGCGCTGCCCTCTCTAAGCGCAGTGGAATGCAACACAGGACTGAGCACCCACCTCACCAGATCCTGTTAAGCACCTGATTTTTCTCACTTCTGCTACTTTTTTCTCTTGCACTCTTTCCCGTGACAGTACTCTGTTTGAGGACAATATTTCCCATGGCCACTCAAAATACAGCATTACAAACTGAGTTGGCCAGATGCATACCACATTCATCTCTCCAAAATAGTGGATACTCAAGCTCTCGAACTGTTTGGAATCTCCTTTTGAACTAGGTTCATGAAATAAAATTCAAATCAGATACCAAACTCTTCCTGCCAGCATAAAGAAAGACAAGAGATATTTTATATCTTCTGAAAGGGTTAGATTTCTTACCACACAATCTCTACTACAAAGTATATTCACATCTTTGCCAGGCTAAACTTCAGCATGCCTCCTCCCCACCCAGCCCTGAGCAGCTCCCCCTACACACCTGTTGCCCCACCTAGTTATTAATAGTAATCTCTTCACTTCCCAAGGTCCACAGTTTGGACAATATAAAAATGTGAACTCTTGTCAGTGTTCTTCCAGGTGAGTCACCTTTGAAAAGTCACCTTTTTCACAATCTTAATGATACGTCTTTCTTTCACATATATAATGACATGGGTCAGTGGTTTGATTGCTTTGTCCAAAAACTAAGTGTCTTTTTAAAATTAGACATGCTCTGAGGGATGTGCATTTTTGTTTATTTGGTTTGCTTGTTTTGATGCAAAAATTTCTAATGTTAGCAGTTCTGGGCAATGTATAGAGGCTGAAAGATTTTTTTTTTTTTTTAAATCTTTCTCCTGCAAGTCATATGTTTTGCCACAAGGTGGTACTTTACTCAAAAGAATCCCTTCTGAGACCTGAATTAGACAACAGGAGAATGTTCTTGATCAAACATTTTAGAACTGATACGACTGTAAAACAAGTCTACTCACTTATAGAGCAAACCATGAACCAAAGCAGGCTATGCATTTCTCCAGATAACTTCCAGTTTTTCATCCCAGAGGATAAAAACGTATAAATACATTTTTGTCTAACCTGCCTCCTCTCTGCTTCCAGAAACAATGTTTTCTTCTTTCCACAACCTCCTGCGCCTTGCTCTGTGGAGGTGCTAGAAGCAGTAGATCCATCATGTTGCAGCCAGACTGCCTGAGCTAGATCCTGAACCTACCTAACCTGTGTGACCAATGGCGGGTTCCTCAGTTTCCTCATCTCCAAAATGGGCATATGACTCCCACGTTTCAGGAGTAATCTTTCTGAGTCTTTCAGAGTTTCTTGACAGGAAGGCTAGGGTTTGTCGTTTTTCAAGTATGGAATTTTGCTGGGTAGCAGTTCCCTAGCTGGGTGCAATGGCCACCCCACCCCTTGCATTCCGTTGATTAATTTTCCTCAGTCAGGGTACATTAGACCTTAATTTCTGGATATTTACAGATAAGGTCAGACACACAGGCCTTCTCATCTGCCCACATCTGACAGCTCAGTGTCATCAAAGTGACTTTAATGACCAGAAGTGTTAAATTTTTTATGAAGTATAACTTATCAATTTTCCTGTACATTCATTATGTTGTTTATACCAAGAAATCTTTACCTACCTCTGCATCAGGAAGCTATGCCATTTTTTTTCTCTAGGGATTATAGGAATCATAAGAAAAATTATGATAAATGGAATTATTACAAAATTAACTTTACTTTCAGGATTAAGATCCATGTCAAATTCTCTCTCTGTCTCTCTCTGTCTCTCTGTCTCTCTCTCTGTCTCTGTCTCTCTGTCTCTCTCTCTGTCTCTCTCTCTCTCTCTCTCTCTCTCTCTCTCTCTCTCTCTCTCTCTCTCCTCTCTGTCTCTCTTCCTTTTGATAGGGTGGTCTCCAAGTCATAGGCTCAAGTAATCCTCCTGCCTCAGCCACCTGAATAGCTAGGACTACAGATGCGCACCACCATGCTTGGCTCATATTCATTTTCTAACTGACACTGTTTATTGAGATAATTGTAACAGTTAACATAGTTGAAAGAAACAGCACAGAGAAATCCTTCCTACATTCTGCTCCAATTCTTTCAGTGGTAATATTTAGTAAAACTACATTATTACCACCAGGATATTGGCATTGATAGAGTCTTCTCCTCTGAGTCAGATTTCTCCAGTTTTAATTGCACTAATTTGTGTGTATGTATCCAGTAAGTCCTATAAAATTTAACACCTGTACAGGTTGGTCTTGTCCACAACCATGGTCATCATTCTGAATACAGAGATCCCTTGCACTGCCCTTGATAAGTATCCCCACATGTATCATGTCATTAGTAAAACTTTGCATTTAATCAGCAAGCAAGCCCAGTCTGGGAACCAGCGCCACACCCAGACCCCCGCCAGACTAGAACAGCCAGACCCTAGTCTCTTCCTGTGAGTCAGTGCAATTCTTGGATCAGAGATAGAAAGAACAAAGGACAGATCAGCGAGCAGACCCAGGCTGGGAACCAGCATCAAGCAGGGACCTCTGCCGGACTGGAACAGCCAGACCCCAGCCCCTTCCAGCACACAGGCTGGCAAACAAGAAGTATCATCCCACAGCCTCCCCATAAGTGACCGGCTTACCCAGAGAAACACACGTAATAATAGCTATGGAGGTGAAATGCAACTGGATGCCTGTGGTGTTTTAGTGTTTCACTAACATTACAGGTCGAGGGCCAGTGGTCTGATCACGGGTTCAGAAGATAATGGTACTCAGTGAGGCATCTAGGGGGCATCTCCTTCTGAGGGTGGCAGCCACTGTTGACTCCCTATGATCTTGTTTTGGAAGTCCTATATTGCTTCCATGGTTTCGTTGGGTTGGGTTTTATTTGGTAGCAATTTTGGATTTACTATTGGATTGTCTGGAATTCTTTTATTGCATTCATTGTTTTATTTTTATTGTTTCTATTCTATTCTGTTCTGTTTGATTTTTACTGTGTCTGAAGTTATCCGCAGCTATTTTGAAGACATCAAAAGGCATTATGGCAATCATTGTTGATTTTGTAATATATTTAGGCCTGCACCTTTTATACTGGTTTGTTTTGATTGGTTTTATTCTGTTTTATCTTCTTTAAAATCAATTTTAAAAATTAAAAAAATTGTCATTTAACAATGTTACATTAAGGATGTATGTAATGATATATACAATGTAACCTTTGAGATTGGTCTTTTTTTTATTTAAGGAGAATAAAATCCAACAATATAAAAGAGAATAAAGCCAATTGCTGGCAGTTTAGCTCAGCTGCACAAGTACCTGCTTGGCAAGTCCTGAGTTTGATCCCTGAGTCCTGAGTCCTGCAGTGCAAGGTCCTGAGTTCGATCCCAGTGCCAGAATAAAGCCAATCAAAGCAAAGCAATGAAAGTGGTACGGAACTTCAAAATAGGGCAATAGGTCATCAACAATGGCTAACACAATATGTCTTGTTATATTCACAATAGTTGCCCATTCCCTCAAACATAGTAAAGTCAAATAAAACGAAACAAGTAAAACCAATCAAAATAGAGCACTGGATAAAACA